AGGTTTGAGACTGTTGGCAAGGCTGGGCAGTGGGCAGAAGGGTGGCCAGGCTGCCCCCACCTGCCACAAGTGGCTCAGGCCACTCGAATGTGCTTTGCATGCTGAACTTCTGCAATTTTCATCTAGGAAAGGCGTCTTTACTTTGAAAACCTGGCTTACAGGTCCCTGAGGCAGAGGATGTCCAGGCCCTGGCTCCTGGGAAAGGCTTCAGGCTGCTCTGCTGAGAGGTTGGGAGGCAGAGCCATGCACCCAGCATGGAGTTCAGAACCAAAGTGGTGAATGAGGGGAAATTCCAAAGACTGAAGGGAACAGAGCAAATGACAAAGGGGCAGAGCCGTGGGTGGGCAAGCCCACCGTGTCCACACCAAACCCGAGCTGATGGCAGCCCAGCAGCCCCCCTGGAGGAGCAGGACCCCTGGAGTCCAGGCCACTGCTGCCCACAGGACCTCCATCCTCTCAGGGTCTGCCCAGCACCCATGGTGGAGCGGGCTGGCGGCTCTTCCTTGGGACTCAGGGTTAATGGTTAAACTGCCTGGTCCTCTCTGGGGAGGAAGTTAATGTTTGAACATCAGACGAGTCACAGGAAATGCCACTTATGGAGCTGTCACCAAGCCCAGCAACTTATCACAAATAAAAAATTAACTCTCCAGCTATTCCTGGTTCCGCGGCCAAGGCCTTCGTGGCGCTCTGTGGGAATGTTCCGGGGTCACCCTGCGAGCCCCACGGCCCGCTCTCCCGAGCTATTTATTGCTCTGTTTACAGAAGCTGATGCCCCTCAGAGCTGGCTGGCGGAGGCCTTTGGCTCCCGCGAGGGAAGAATGTTCCAGAGAGATGGTGCGGTGGCAGGACAGACATGGGCTTGGCAGTCAGACAGATCTGGGCGGGTGGACGGCTGTCACGTAGAGGCGTGTGACCTTGAGCGAGAGACCGATCCTACTTGGGCCTTAGTGTCCTCGCCTTTGCAACGGGGACATGCCAGCCCCTTTGCTTTTTGTCTCGGCCAGTTGGTTTCCATTCCAAAACTTCATGGGCTGTTTTTTGGGGGAGGCTTTTTCTCTTGAGGTAAAATTAACATAAATTTAGAGTGAGCAATTTAATGGCATTTAATTGTTAATATTAAACCCAGTATATTTCATTACGTTCAATTTTTACATGTGAATAGCCAGAATTTAATTCTTTAATTTTATGAATGTAATTTAAGCAATTTTCATTTATGGCCAAATGACGTTTTCTACTTTAAAAAAAAAAAAAAAAAATATATATATATATATATATATATTTCAGAGAGGAAGGAAGAGGGAGAGAGAGACAGAAACATCAATGATGAGAAAGAATCATTGATCAGCTGCCTTTTGCTTGCCCCCCACTGAGGATCGAGCCCACTACCCGGGTGTGTGCCCTGACCGGGAATCAAACCCTGACCTCATGGTTCATAGGTTGACACTCAGCCACTGCTCCACGCTGGCTGGCTCTACATTTTTTCTTTAAAAACTAGTATTATTTAGATTTGGATATCAGTTATATGCTTGCAAGCATTATTAGATTGTGTGTTTCATTAACTGAGCAGAGGGCATTTCATATAACACGATCCTACAGTATTTGACCTTTTGTGTCTGCCTTCTTCCTCTGAGCATCCTGTTTTTGAGGTTCGTCCATGTTGTTTTGAGGTTCGTTCATGTTTCAGAATCTCATATGTACAAGCTTTAAAGGCACTTTTCTCTAACAAACCTTCCCGGGTCCTTTTCTCGATTCTTCTTCTGGCTTCTGGTGGCTTTCGGCAGCCAAATCCTTCCCCTTGCCTCGGGACATCCCCTGCCCTGCCCACAGCCTGACACACTCTCCTGACATAGAGCAGATTCTGGGTGGGCATCTGAGCTTGTTCATAAATAAATCCGGGACTGCAGGCGGAGCCCGCTGTGGCGAACGCAGGGCAGACTTGCAGTGCACCGGGCCCCGACTGGGGCATGGAGAGACTGGCACCGGCCTTTGCCCTGTTCCAGCCCCTGCCCACGGCCAGCCTGCCGAGGGGGCCACCTCGTTATCTCAGGACGGTGGCAGGACAGAGGGACCCAGTGTTCTCTGGGCCTGGCCCAGTGCCATGGGCTTCACACGTGTGAAGGAAACAGTCCTTGTCCATAAACTCCGGTGGGAAAATAAAACTTTCTCCATTTCCTGTCACTTCGGTTCTGGCCCCGTTCTCCTGGGACGACAGGAACCGAAGCCCTGGCATTTCCGACCTTTCCTGCAGAGATCCACATGGCACGGTGTCTGAGGGGCCAGAGCGTGGTGCTGACGGAGCCGGCCCAGGCCTGCCAGCGGCCCGGGTGCCGCTCATCTGGACGTGGCTCATGCCATCTCGCCTCTCAACGACTCCCCCCTGTCGATGGACAGGCACCGGGGCACTCTGCCTCTTTCTGGAACCTTCTATGTCCTGCTCATCAACTCCCCTTTCTCCCCAGTCTGAGGAAATCTTGTTCCTTTTGTTTCCTCCCAGTCATTTGGGTTACACCAGAATTCCTTTTCATCCCCCCTCCCGCCCTTTGGGGTTGCAGCCAGGAAGACTGTAGGTTTTCCTGCCCTGTGGAGCCCGTGAACCAGTAATCTGAGGAGGAAGAGAGAGAGAAAGGAGAAGAAATATCAGGAGACAAAAAAGGAATAAAAGTTAATATGTTGAAAAATACTGCACTGCACGCACAAATCACTTATTCTCACTAAAATCCTGGGGGTATTGCTATGCCCATTTTACAGAAGAGGAAACTGAGGCTGATAGGGGTAAAGGGCAAGGCCTAGATAGCTTGGGATCCAAAGCTCACCCTCGCTCCACCACACCACCCACCTCACTCCAGTATCCCATGCTGTCCACTGGCCCCGGGCACTGGGCAGGCACCGCTGCTCTCACAGATGGCATCTGTGATCCGATGCTGCTTCCCCAGCCATTCATCCATCCCCTCCAGGCAGCCAGGCAGTGGCGACAGGTGACCATCAGACATGGCGGAGGGGTGAGAGGCGTGCCCCTCACCGGCCCCAGGCCCTGCCTCTCTCACAGCAGCTGCTTCTGTCTGTGTCAGCCCTGCCTTCCAGAGGAAGTGAGCCTCCTAGTGGCTCAGTGGCAGTGGCCCTATTACAAAGCTCTCCTGTCATACTGCCCTCACCCCCAACACGGGTGTCCAGCTCTGCCACTGTGTCCCTAAAACTACCGGGATCCCAGTGGCCTGAATCCTCCGCATGGACCCTTCCTTCCAGAGCTCCCAGGGAGACTAGGATGGCTCGCCCTCAGGCCAGAGTAGGAGCCTGGGGGGGGGGGCGCAGAGATGGAGCCTGAGACCCCCCACTCAGCTAAGGCAGTCCCTGCAAGCAGCCAGAGGGGCACAGAGCTCCCTGCTCCCCCCACCTTATCCCCACAGCCTAGCTGCAGCCACAGCTGGTGAGCACAGTGGCAGCACTGGGTACCCACGGCACCACTCCCCACCATCATTTGGACACCCCCTGAGGACTCCTGGACTGCGAGAGGGTGCAGGCTGGGCTCAGGGATGCATGAAATTTGTGCACTAGGCCTCTAGTAGTAGCTATAAAATCACGAATGTGATAGGCTAGTTCTATAACTTTCTGATTCATATTTAAAATTCTCTTTAAGAATGTGTAACTATTAGAAGCAAAGTGTTCTACCATGTCCCAGCCAACGGGGCACGCCACGCAGGAGGTGCTCCCTGACGCTGGGCCCTGGGTCTGTCCCCACACGGTCTACCACCGGCACCAGACGGGGAAGCCGAGCTGGGAGCCAGTGAGGCATGTCTTGTGCTCAGGACACAGTGTTGTGTGTGGGTTAGCATCCAGGTCTGCTGCCACCAAAGGTAGCCCAGCAGGTGGGGTCCCAGTTGCACCATCATAAGCTCTGTCACCAGCACATGTCACTTTACCCCTTGGAGCCTGGATTTTGTCCTCTCTGCTGTGGGGCAGTGACCCTGCCTGAGCCTACAGGCTCCACCCTGTCTGATCATGTGCAGAACAGGCCGATGGCCCCTTCCCCACACCTGTCTCTCTCCGGGGCTGCTGTGGGAGGCGTGGCAGTGAACCACTGGCCAGGGACCCCACAGGGAGTCTGCCCCCTGCTCTTCCTCACCTCTCACCACCAGCCATTTCTACCTGCCTTTGGCCAGTACCAGGCCAGTGTCCCTGCGGGCCCAGTCTGGCTAGATCTGTGGCAGGAAGCCGCCAGAGTCCCTGGCACGCTCTCCATTTGTCTGGCCAGCTGGCCATGGGTTGTTCAGCCTCATGGACTGGAGCTGTGGGCCAGTGTCCTGCTGACCTGGTCAGCCCAGCCCTGAATTCACTTCTCCCAAAGTGAGGGAGAGGCTGCATTCTCCACAGCTGGGAGGGCGCCCGGCTTCTGATCCAGGCGATGCTGTGGAGCTGGCAGGGAGGCTGCGCCCTGGCCGAGGCGCTGCCCCCCACGGGGTCTCTGCAGGAGCGCAGGCCAGGGCCCAGCTCAGCCTCCGGGCTTCACTCGTGGTCATCTGTGAAGAGCCTCCCAGGACCACGTCACCGGCCCAGGAGTGTCTGGGGAGGCCAAGCCCCGGGGTCTGCGAGCTTCAGGGCCCCTGCAGTCCTGGCCTGCGGTGCCCACAGCTGGAGTCCTGACAGCCAGTGGCCAGGACATGGTGGGTTCTGGGGCATTTCCAAAGGGAGAGGGGCTCCGCCTGCTTCAGCCGGGCTTGCTGTGAGAGCTGGGTGAAGGTTCAGGAATATCTAAGGGGCTCTCACCCCCACATTCCTCAGAGACAGACACATGGCCCTGGGGTCCCGTAGATGCTTTGACAGTCCCTGTGGGAGCCACACCCAAAACCCTGCCTTTGTCCATGGTCTCTCCCCGCCCTTACCACACCTCCCTTCTAGGACCACAACCTGTGCTGTCACTCTGGGGCTGCTTTACCTCTGGAGCCCCACATCCTGATCTAGGCCTGGCCTCCTTCCCGCTCTGATGCTGCTGCTCTTCTCAGCAGGCTGCGCGGGGCTGTGGGAAAACATGAGCTGCTGGCCCTCCTCTGAGCCCGGACAGACGGTGGAAGTGGAGTGTCCACGATTCCTCTGGATGCTCACGGGCAGAAACGGTAACCATCAGCCCAAGGGCCGCTGAGAGGCTGCGGGTGGCCTCTGAGCGGGAGGAAACTTTGGGGACAAATACTGAGGGAATGATGGGGGTGGGGTCCTTGTTAGGGATTGGAAACTTTTCCTGGGGGCGGGGCTAATCCTTAGGGTCCCAAGCAAGGGGGCAGGAGGCAATGTACTGGGGACATGGAAAAGGAGTGCAGGCTGACTTCTCTCTGTGCCGTGTGGCTCAGCTTCTTCCTCCTATGTTCCTGCCCCTCAGGAACCAGGACCCTTGCTCCAGCACCGGGCCTGGGTCCCCGCTGGGTACCGCCTGGCCTTCCAGCACACTTGCTTCCTGTGCTCCTTCTGCCAGGCCCTGTGATCAGCTGGCCCCCAGGGGTCTCTTGCCCAAGGAAAGCTACTTCCTTAATCTCAGGCAGGGAGGGGAGGAGCCTGCTCAGATGGATGCTCAGGGGCTGACGCGGGCTACAGCCCCATATGTGCCAGCCTTTCGTCATCACAACCACCTGCACATCACAGGCCCTGCCCCTGCCCCTGCCCTTCCCCCCCTCACTCCCCTCCCCCTACCCCCCACCGCACTTGGCCCATCAGGAGTGATAATAACAGACAAAGAGGGCTTAGCAGTTTGTACAGCTAGGAGATGGAGACACCAGCACTCAAACCCAAATTTCTCTGACTTCAAAGCTGGAGCTCTGTTTGAGGCCATGGTCAAGGTCGGCCTGGGCCCCAGTGGGGGTCACCCTGAGTGGAGGCCTTTGGCCCATTCGCTCAGTGGGCTCACTTAAAGTCTAAAGCCTGGCCTGGCCCTGCCACCCCTCCCCTTGTCTTGAGGGACAGAAAAGCTGCCTGATGCGGCCCTTAACAAAAATGAGCTCAAAATGATGATTTAACACTAAAACCCACCAGCCCTCCCCAGTCAAGACTCTATGACCTCACACACCAACACTGTGTGCGGGGCAGGGGTGTACATGCTGCACACCGTGATGCTCTAGTGCTCCTGCATCACGGTGTGCACTTGACGCCCCCGTACAGAAGTGGGGGGTGGGCAGGGAGTCCAGCCTGAACCCCACCCCTCTGTTTATTGCATGGGTAGGTAATGCTAGCAGCCGAAACAGACAGACCCCCAGATCTTGCTGCTTCCTCCAGTGCCGTCTGCCGTGTCCCCAGCAGGTGCTTCCAGGGGCAGGAGGCTCTCTCCGCTGGGTCTGGCATCCGGGCACCTCCCTGCTGGGAGCTGGCACACAGCTTGCGGGCTGATGGGGGGGATTTTGAAGAACCAAGCCTGAAAGGGATACCACTTCTGCCCCTGTTGCTTCTGCCAGAGCTCAGTCACATGGCGACTCCTGGTTGCAAACGATGTGGGAAATGGGGTCCTATTGGGTACCAGCCTCTGCCTCTGGCCCAAGTTCTTCAAATAGTCCCTGAGCGTCAGTGTTCTCACCTGTAAAGTGGGGAGAATAGACAGCACCAGCCCTGGAAGGCTGTGCTTGGAAATAACTTTTAAACATCTTGTCTCCTCTTTTCCCCTCATATCCCTTCCTAGCCTTCCTTTCTACCCCGAGGTCCCGCCGTGGACACACACACACAGGCACACTTACCTACAGCCTTATTTCCTGGCACACCCGTCCTTGTCTGTCTCTGGGGTACATGGAACTTGGAACACAGAAGGATAATCCAGGCATGGCCTTGAGTAACTTGCTGGGCAGGTGCATGGCCAGGACCACACCTGGTCTCAGAAGACTCCCTGTCCAGTGCTCCTCTCTGGCTGAGTTCTCTTGTTGGAGGAAGCTCTCTCTTTTCCAGGCGCCCCCGTCACAGCCCTCTCAGAGCTCTGTGCCTCTGCCTCCCCCACCGGCCCTTCCACAGAGGCTCCTGGCCACGTCCCTCCACAAACAAGTGCTTGAACCCCCGCCTGCCTCGTTAACTAGAACCCAACTGTCTCCTCCCTGAGGCTCCTCAATCTTAATTGCTCAAGACCCACCGGGGGTCACCCATGGGTGCAGCTCCAGATGCTGAGGGAAGGAAGCAGGTTCCTGTGCCAACCTCTGCTGCAGTTTCCTCTTGCTGCCACATGGTGTCGCTGTAGGGCTTCAGGACAGCCCGCTGGCCACACTGAGGCTCTGCCTGCTGAGTGCTAGGATAGGCCCCCAGGGGATGGGGTGGGATGGCTCACCTGGGGGAACCATTGTGCTCATACACAGGTCCAGGCCCAAGGCATGGGCCAATCCCGCAGCATAGGTCAGTCCAGCCTCCCCCCTCCCACCACTACCTTCCCTCCCCACAGTTCCATGGGGTCTGGTTGGGTCCCAGCCCTTCTGCCTCCTCTCAGGAGAGGCTTCCCTCACTGTTCTCCCACAGGTTTCCGGGGCTTCCCACCCCAACCCAGGAAGGAGTGCCCAGTGAGGACAAGCTGGTGTTCTGGGGCCCTCATTTATTTATTTATTTTTAAATATATTTTTATTTTCATAGAGGAAAGAAGAGGGAGAGAGAGCTAGAAACATCAATGATGAGAGAGAATCATTGATTGGCTGCCTCCTGCACACCCACTACTGGGGATCCGTCTGCAACCTAGGCATGTGCCCTGGAGCAGAATTGAACCTAGGACCCTTCAGTCCTCAGGTCAATGCTCTATCCACTGAGCCAAACCAACTAGGGTGAGCCCTCCTTTACTAAGAAGAAACTAATGGTAACTCAATTCCATCTCCGGCCCAGACAGGATGGGTGTCCGTGTGAGTGGAGAAACTGCGGGCTGGATTCTGACCCAGATATTTCTCTGTGTGTGCCAGGCCGAGACTGTTCCCTCCAGGACGCATCCCTTTGAGTTTTAAAGGGGCAATGGTCTTCCAAAGATCCTTTAAAAACCCACTCCCCATGGGGGCCAGCCTTGGCCTCTTGCCCCTCTATCGTAGTGGGGATTGCAGCCTTAAAGCAGCCGAGGTTCCTAACCTGAGGCCCTGTTCTCATCTGATTGTCTTTCTTTGGACCAATCATGCCTGTGCACACAAACACTGACGGTGCTTTCCGGGCTCCTTGGGGTGACCCTGGTAAGGACCCTTACCTGTGAGGCAGTAAGCCCAAGGAAAGTGGGAGCGGGGGTGGGGGTGGGGAGAGGTGGAGGTGAAGGGACTCCTGAGGGAGTCCAGCCTTATCTCCCTGCAGTCCTGCCAGGGTGGCCAGCAGAGGGCACCGCCTGCTCGCTGCTCTGGGCTCCTGGCCTGCATCACCTGCAGCTGTGCCAGTGAGGAGAGGGCCCCAAAGGGCAGCCCCGCTCTGGGGCAGGCGCTGTCTGGCAGCAGGTCTGGGCTTCACGGCTTGCATTCTCTTTGCTCATCTTCCCAGCCAGCCAGCCAGCCAGCCCGAAGCTGACCACCTGCTTCCTGTCTGACAGCCTAGCTCCCTGACCTAACTCCACCTTCTCCCGTTGCCAGGGTTCCAAGCCCCACCACTCTCGGTCCATTTTAGAAAGAGGCAAGGCAGCAGGGAGTGCCCGCCTGTGTCTGGCACCAGCCTGAGCCGTCTCTGTGTGTCCCCGCTCAGCTCTGCAGTGTGAGTGAGTTCCCACGTGGCACAGAAAGGAGATGCACCGAAGGTCACACGGCGACCAAGAGGCAATGCTGGCTTTCAAACACGGTTCTGGCTGGTTCTAAACCTGCACTCCGGGCCTCGTGAGCTTCAGGCTGGGCATGCCAGTGCCCATCATGGTCTCCTACTCCTGGAAGCTGCCCCTGGGTCTGCAGGGAGGGGCCAGGCAGGAAGGGGGTACAGTGATGGGACATGACCTAGCTGGGCATTGTTACCCTTCTGAGCCTTGTTTTTCTTGTCTGTAAAATGGCCAGCAGCGCCTGCCTCATTGGGGCCCTCTGACGATTAGATCAGCATCTATACATGTACATTGGCTGGTCCTGGAAATACTAGTATACTCATATTTCTCCAGCTCAGTGGAATCAGCTTGAGCCACAACCCTGAAAGCCAGTAAGCCTATCCTGGGGCCTGTCAGAAGGAGCATGCCAGCCCAGCTGGGGTGGTTCAGAGTCCCGGACAGGGTTCAGAGGAGAGTAAAAGCAGTGTCAGGGCTGCAGTCAGCTCCCTGCACCCCTGTGACACCCACAGCAGCCAGACCCGGGGACCGGAACTCGGCCCTTCTTGGCAGTCAGAGTGGCGGTGCAGTTGAGTCTGTTGTCCCAAGGAGGCTCCTGGTGGCTCTCCAAGCCCCCCTCCTGGCTCCCCCAGGGCTCCAGCTCCTTCTCTACAGATTCTCAGTGGGCGAGGTCTTCCCTCTTCGGTGGAGAGCTCAGAGCAGGCTCTTCTCCCCTCAGCTGCTTCTCCAGCCAGCCAATGTTTGGAGAGCAGGGGCTCTGAGCGGGCATGGGGAGCCCTCAGAAATCACCTGCTAGGGGAGGCAGGAAAGCCACTGCACCCCATTGAGGACATGGGGTACAGCCTGTGCTGGAGCTGGGCAGGGAGCTCCAGGTGCCATGGTGCAGGTCACCCAGCAGTGGGCTGAGGATGGGCGGGGCAGGCCCTCCGTGAGCATTGAGGGACGTAGGAGCTGAGTTTGGAGCCTGCAGAGGGAAGGGTGAGGGGGCAGATGGGAGGGAACAGGGGTGTAAGAGAGCCCAGGGGTGGGCTGGCCCGGGAGCAGGGACCCTGAAGTCTGCCATGGCCTGGACCCTGGGCCTGGCTCTGGGGGAGTTGTTCTCTGAGTGCTGCGCCCTGGCCAGTCCCTCCTCTGCACTTGGCTGTGGGTGTGGGGGGTGGGGTGGGGAGGAAGACAGGGGACTGGGAGGGATGTTTGCCAGTTTGTAGATCGAGTGTCAGGGATCAGCAGGTCTCTCTCTCTCTCTCTCTCTCTCTCTCTCTCTCTCTCTCTCTCTCTCATTCACACGCGCACACACACACACACACACACACACACACACACATACACACACACCAGATCTTTGCTCCTTCTAGGCCCAGCTGCCTACCACCTCTCCCTCCATTTTTCCTGATGGACAGACCTATGTATTCTTCAAGGACCAACTGAGCCACCTGGAGTGGACTCTGTGGTTCTGAGCAAGGCAGCTGGGGACAAAGAGACAGAGGAAGCTCTGGGCTGCCCCTAAGGCATTGCTGAGGGCACCCGGGAGGCCCAGCCGTCTGCCTCTGGTCCCCGCGGCTCACACACAGCGTGCTCACCACCCACAGGCTCCATGTTTCGAAACTGCACACCGGGCGGCTGGTCAGAAGTCTTTCCCAGGCCTGACTTGGCCTGTGGGGTTAACATGAACGACTCGTCCAACGAGAGCAACGAGAAGCGGGTAAGCCTGTCAAGCTCCCTGGAAGGGACTGCAGGGGGAAGTCCCAGCACCGGCCCAGGACAGGCCCTGGGGTGCGGCTCCCACCCACTTTGTCCGGCACATCACCTGGGGGTCAGTGCGCCGTGGCACAGGGGACTGCCACGTGCTGCCATGAGTCAGGGGACTTGGTCATGAAACCCAAAGAGAAGCTAAGTGGCGGCTACAGGCTTAGGCCAGGCTGGTGAGTCTCAGCCCTGACCTGTGACCTTGGTGGGGTGTGGATGACTTTACTCAGCTGTGCCTCCGTTTCTTCATCAGGGAAATGGGTTAATAACAGTTCTCGACTCACAGGCTTGCCGAGGGAACTAAATGAGTTAATCCACTGGAGTGTGAGCAGGGCGCCTGGCCATAGTAAGTGCTCAATCAGTGTTTGCTCTCAGAAGAGAGAGCCCCGCCCCAGGATATCCGTCCCGGTTGAGAGAGGACACTGCCTTGGGCTGCACTCCTCCCGGTGCCTCCTGAAGTAGCCGTCCTCTTCAGAGAGCCCTTCCCTCCTCGCTTTTCCTGGCTGGCTCGCACACAACCTTTTAAACTCCACTCCAGAGCATCAACCCCAGAAATGCTTCTGCCTGTCCCCCCAGGACGGGCTCCCTGACTGTTAGCCTCCAGCTATCGCCATGTAACATGAAGTCATCAGCATGTCTGTGGGCCCCCACTGCTCTCACTAGAATATGAGCTCCTCCAAAGCCTCCATTCACTCGACAAACGTTTGGGCAAGGCCCGGGGCTAAGCATGGAAATGTGCAGTGACAGAGTGAAGAGTCATTTCCCGGCCCCATTGCCCAGCACGATGCCAGGCCCCTATAAGGTGCCCAATACATGCTCATCGTTGGACTGAATGTCTACCTGATGCCAGCTGCTTAATGCACAGTTACATTAGTGCTCAAAGCATCTGGTGTAAGTTCATTATGTTCTCCATTTTGCAGGTGGGGAAACTGAGGTGTAAAGGGTTTAACGCAAAATTGGATTTACCTCAGTTATGGTCCAAATATAATGTAAAGGAGACCTAATTGGCTTCAGCTCACATTAAAAAAAAAAAAAAATTAAAAAGCCCCTAAGATTGGAAGGCCTTCAGACCATCTGATTCACAATGGTCCATAAGTGCAGGTTCACAAATTGGAGCACAATTTGTCTTTTATTCTGAGATTTGAACCATCCTTATTTATTTATTTATGTTTAGTCCTCTCAGCATGATATGTGTTTTTTCCCCATTAGATTTAGTGAAAGAGGAAGGGGTTTGTTTGTTCTTTTCTTTCTAATTCTCACCCAATGGCATTGTTTTGCCTATTAACTTCTAGAGAGAATGGAAGGGAGGGACAGAGAAAGAAACATCTATGTGAGAAAGACAATGTGAGAAAGTCACATCAGTTGGTTGCCTCCTGCACGTGTCCAGACTGGGCATCAAACCCCCAACCTGGGGATGTGCCATGACCGGGAGTCAAACCTGCAATCTTCTTGGTGTGCAGGACAACTCTTCAACCAACTGAGTCACCATCCTATTTATTATTGTTGAAAAAAAATTTTTTTTCTTTTAATCAAATGATGGTGAAAGTCTGAATTTGTTGGTTTTCTCTCCACTTCCTTGCTTGGCACTCACCTCTCTATTATTGACAAATATGATTGACAAAGTGGGCTCAGACTGGCAGAAAGACCAGGCAAAGATGTCACTTGAACAAATAAGATGGGGTTTGCTCACCTACAGCAGAGGTTGGCAAGCTACAGCCCTTGGGCCAAATCAGATCCACCACCTGCTTTTGCAAATAAAGTTTTATTGAAACATTGCCACGCCCATTTGCACTTCGAGGACAGAATTGAGTTAGCTGCAAAAGAGATCTTACGGCACCCAAAGCCTAAAGTATTTACTACTTGCCCTGTATGGAAAAAGCCTGGTGACCCCAATGCAGAAGGAAGGTGGTCCAGTCAGAACACAGAGCAGAGAGATAGGAACTTGACCCGTGGTGGACAGCAGTGAGGATCCCGGACCTGCATTCTCTGGCAGATGGTGCAGTAGTTGCAACTGTCAAGGGCAGGGGCACTGAGGTTGCATCAGGCCTCCTGGGAACAGGACTCTTTCTGAGTCAGACTTTAAAGACACAGGGCAGGACCAGGACTGCCTGAGAGCTGGCCCATGTGTCCCGAGGGTCAGATGGTGGACCATGACCCCCGCCACAGGACAGTGCAGAATACTCAGCCTGAACACTATGCTGTCACCTGGGCCTCCTCATGCTGCACTAGGCTGCCCCAAACGGCTCCCGAACCGAGGCTGCAAAACCATGCGTCCCCAAGGGTGAGGCCCACACCCTCGGCTGAGGGGCTCACGTGGGCCTTCCAACATTTTGAGACTTCACTGCTCTCTGATTAAAGGTCTAGGAACCATTAATCTGGTGCAATCTGCTGCCCTTTTGGCTCTCTGTAAGGTGGCTCCTGGGAGTGCAGTGACATCAGTGGGGAAGCTCAGTGTCACAAGGCAGCAGTCCTGTCAGAGGTCACCTCTTGCTGCCAGAGAGTGTTTGGTCCCTCTGAGTCAAACCTCCTTTCTGGTAACGTCCTCCCGCCGGTCTTACTCTGCTTCTGCACGTCCATCCACCTCATAGTGTCCTCCCCTGAGTTTGTTTATCCCTCTGGGTGTGATGTGCCCAGTTTCGTCATGTGCTCTTCAGGTGACAAGATGAGCCTTCATGGAAATACTCCAGTTTATTAATGTGTCTCCTAAAATAACACTCCCAGCCTGGACCAAACACTCCAGATGTCCCAACGTGGCCGGCTGCTCTACAGCGCTCCACTATGTAACTGGGAGTAGGCAGATTTTTCCAGCAGCTACCTCGTACCTCATACCTCATGCCTCACACCTCATACTTCATGCCTCAGACCTCAGACCTACGGCCTCAGACCTCAGACCTCATGCCTAATACCTCATATCTCATACCTCAGATCTCAGACCTCAGACCTCAGACCTCATGCCATAATCTCGAACTGCTGCTGAGTCATGTTGAAGGGTGGATGATGGGGTGGAGGGTGGAAGTGGAAAAATTAACATCCCTGCCTGTCTTCTAGGTGCCAGCCATTGGCTAGATACTCTACCTGATACCTTATTTGTCCTTCCAACAAGCCTGCAAGGTAGATGTGATCCCCATTTTGCAGATGAGGAAGCTGAGGCTCAGAGAAGTTAAGTAATTTGCCCAGGGCCACACAGCTGGTGAGGGTTTGGAACCCTTGCTTCTTGGCTCCGAAGCCTGTGTTCTTTTTGCAGCACACTTCCCGAACACATGAAGCTTTGGCCATTCGGCCTCAAGGTCATTTTCATGTGAATAGCTGTCAGCCAGCAGGTTTCCCCAATACTATTCCTGCGCCTGTTTTCTTTTTAAATCAAATACCTGTTTTCTTCTGGTTGTAAAGTATGACTGACCCACTGTAGCAAAATGAAAGGTGTAGAAAAACACAACTGAAAACAACAGTGCTATCCACCAACTTACCATCCAAAGCTAACTGGTATTAACATCTAACACATCTCCTTACTACCTCGTTTCTAAGCATGTATGAGATTAGACTACATGAAATGTCCATATTTAGTCTTTTTATAACCTACAAAAAGGAGTGATTTCTTATAACTTGACATAACACTGTTTTGCAGAAGGGGATTGTATTTTGCCTTTCCTTTGACATGTTCTGAGCATGTCCCAACATCTTTTCAAACTCTGGGGAAGCAGCATTTTAGTGGTGGCCTAACATGAAAGTAATTTGGATTTAAAATCATTTAGTTTAAAAAATAAAATAATTAGTTAACTATTCTATTGTTGGACATTTGAATATTTTTCGTCACAAATAGTTCTGATGATATCTTTATGTATAAATAGGCGTTATATTTCTGATTATTTCTTAGAATTAATTCCTGGAGGCAGAAGGAAAACCTATTCCAAAGGTTCTTAATCCCTGATACTTTCCAGAGAGATTGAACAATTTCCACTCCCACTGTACCCAGCATAGAATATGTTTACTTCCAAATATTTAATTTGGTTGATTTAAAAAAATGGTATAGTATTAATCTTTTTTAAAAAATAAAATATATACATATACATACATACGTACATATATATATATATATATATATATTATGGATTTTTTACAGAGGAAGATAGAGGAATAGAGAGTTAGAAAAATCTATGAGAGAGAATCATTGATCAGCTGCCTCTTACACACCCCCTACTGGGTATGTACCCGCAATCAAGATACATGCCCTTGACTGGAATCGAATCTGGGACCTTTCAGTCCACAGGCTGACGCTCTATCCACTGAGCCAATCTGGTTTTGACAATATTATTCTTTTAATTTTTACTTCCTTGCTTATTTTTAAGGCTATTGTATAATTTATTTTTTAACCTAAATGCAGGTCTTTACATTTATCTCTACATGTCAATTTATTCTATTCCATTGAGATTTTTTGAATCAAAGATGAACCAAGAATGTGAAGTGTCTACTGAACAAGTAAGTGCCTGCTTGGATACATTAACAGGAGCGCAGTGTGTAGATCAGGGGAGGTGACGTCCCATTCCACTTTTTCCCGGTGAGAGGATACATCTGGCGCTTTCCAGCTATCCAGTTCTGGGTATTTTTTTAAATAAGGACATTGACAAGTTGGAGCATATTAATGGAGCAAAATGGTGAAGGAGGTGGAAAGAGATTAAAGACACAGGGAACATTTAATGCTGAGAAGATAAGTGAGGCACAGGTTGGCTGAATAGCTGTATTAAAAATGACAGGCCTCTCTGTAAGCTCTTCATAACTTTTCTGTTAGTGTAAAATTATTCTAAACTGTAAAACTTATTTTTAAAAAATAAGGACAGGCCTTAGGTACAAGTCAAATTCAGTTTATTTTAAATGGTTTAAGAAACAATAAGTGCAATTCAAAAGGTAATAGATTTTAGCTTTAAATGAGAAAAAAATCAACAATATTTTGCCCTACTGCATACCAAATGACTTCCTTACTCCTTGGAAGGCAGTGAGCACCTCGTCCCTAGAGGTATTCAAGCAGAGCCTTTAAATCCAGGATGTATGAGGTATATACGTTTGAGTCGCTATCAGGTGATCCCCAGGATCTTTTCCAAAGCCAAGATGTTGTGAATCTATGAATGGGTGCCCTTGGGATATGAACCACATGGCAGTCGGAGTTGAAGGATTCAAGCAGCCCGAAGCAGGTACTCTCCGAGGCAGAAAAGAGCAGAGCCAGCCGGGGGGGCGAGGGGGCTGACACATGCTCTCTCTGCAGCACAGGTACCTGCTGAAGCTGAAGGTCATGTACACCGTGGGCTACAGCTCCTCCCTGGTGATGCTCCTGGTGGCCCTCAGCATCCTCTGTTCTTTCAGGTGAGGACATGTCCCCAGCCTTCCCTGCACACGGACTTCGCACCTCTTTTAACTGCTCGGGCCAGAGAGGAAGGTCTGGGTGGGCCACTTTGTCACCTCTTAATCTAAGCTGACCTGTGGCAGATGTTCCTGTGACTGAACTTCCTGTGAAGTTTGTTCATTCCTTTATTCACTCAACATTTCCTGAGCATTGCTAAGAACTTACCGCACCAGTTGCTTTACACGTAGTTATTTCTAATGTTCACACAATGCTAATTATCTTAACGTTACAGGTATGTTAGCCAGACTCTTGGTTGCAAGAAACAGAAACCTTCAAACAAAGGTGACCTGACCCACATAACTGACGAGTTCGGGGGCATCTGGCTGAATCTAGGTGCTCAAGGGTATTAGCACAACTAGGTTGGCCTCCCTCCATTTTTCTGCTTGCACTGGCCTCATCCTGGGGTAGACTTCCTGCAGGGGAGCAGACACAGCCACCAGCAACTGCAGGGGTACATCCTAGCATTCTTCACCAGCCCAAAGAAAGTCTCTTCCCCATTAGATGCAATGAAAGTCCTGCGGGAATTCTCATAGGCCCAACTTGGGTCACATGCCCAACCCGGAGCCAATCACTGTGGCCAGGATTGGAGAGCTCCAATTGGTCAGGTCTGTCATGAGGATGGGAGGGTGGAGTCAAACCCACCAGAGTTGGAGTGGGTCCCCCCTAAGAAAGCCTGGTCTGGTACCGGGCCTACGGCAACAAGTAACAAAACTCTGTCCCTGACAGTAGAATAGGAAACGGGCTAAGGGGAGTGAAAAGGCTAGCTCCAGGCCATATAACTGACAAGGCTAGCTCCAGTTCATATAACTAGGGAGGCTAGTTCCAGGTCATGTAACTCACAAGGCTAGCTTCAGGTCATATAACTGACAGCAGCAAAGCCCAGGTCTGTCTGCTCCCCGAAGCCCGTGTTCTCTCTGTGCTGCTTGCCTTTAGGACCTCCTTCTTCCATCCCTTCTCACCTTCTGAACAACTGTAGAAGCTAGAGATCGCAGTAGGTTAGGGAAGAATATAATGCTGCCCTGTGACCCAGTTTTTATTATTATTATTATTATTATTATCGTTGTTGTTGTTACAACATGAGACAGAGTAGACTGAGCACCTGGGGACTTGGGTACTTATGCAGGTTGTACTAACAGAGCGATACAGAGAAATGTGTCACCTGGGAAGAGTTCCCCTGAGCACTGGGGGAGGGGTGGGCCTGCTGCACCCTGGCTCCTCCCAGCGAGGGCCCCTATAGCCCTGCTTCCTCTCCCTCCAGGAGGCTCCACTGCACCCGCAACTACATCCACATGCACCTGTTCGTGTCCTTCATCCTGCGCGCCCTGTCCAACTTCATCAAGGATGCTGTGCTCTTCTCGGACGACAGTGACCACTGTGAAACCCACAGGGTAACAGGCCTCTGTGCCCAGGGCGTGGCTCACTTTGGAGAGGGTGGTAGCCTTGTTCTTCCCAGAATCCCTCCTGAGGCTGCACTTCATGTCCGTGATAGAGGACCAGGAGCTGGGCTGGGTGAGGAGATCCAGGGAGAGCTCCACGTCCCCATATGCAGCCTGGGACCCATATGAGATTGGCTTATGGGGAAGCCACTCAGCTGCCACTCAGCTCCATGTCTGGGATTGGCCACTCTGAGGTTGAGATATATAGCAAGCAAGGATCCTCCTTCCCTGCTCTTGCTAAGTCCCACTCTAGACAGATGGCTGTCTAGAGAGGGTTGGGTTGGTTGTAGAAAGAAGGGGTGAGCATTTGCCTGTATGTCTGCACACACAGGTCTGCAGTAAAACCAGGTGCTTGGTTAGATCTAACCCTCTTTCTTATTCTGAATGTGCTCAGATGAGTCTTAATTCATTGTAATATCACTTTGTGTCCATGGGAACCCCTTCAGCGCACATAACAGATAATTATCCACCCATAGCTTAGACAAAGCGGTGTTCCCCACGTAGGCAGTCCATAGACGGGCAACCCAGAGCTGGCACGGTGGCTCCATGCTGCCATGAAGGACACGGTCCTTGTCCCTCTTTCTGCTCTGCCATTCTTGATCCCATGTTTTATGCCATGTTTGCATGTGGCTTCTGCAACCCCAGGCCCACATCCACGGCCCAGACAAAAAGGAGCTAAGTAGGTGAAACATTTTTTCTCTTTGGGAGGCTTTGACTTTTTGTTTGGAAAAGAACACCCTCTCCAAGACTCCTACCTATCTTTTATTGACTAGAACTGTGTTGGGTGACCATACTTAACTGCAAAGGAAGCTGGGAGATTGAGTTTTTCACTAAGACAGTCTCCAAAGCAGACACAAGTGAGGGAGAAGGGGTTTGGAAACTGAGGTTGGTTCAGTCACCTGTCTGCCACTTTCCAGACTCACATCTGGAATTCCTCCTTGACCTGTTAGGTTTGTGTTTATAGTGTGTGTGTGTGTGTGTGTGTGTGTGTGTGTGTGTGTGTGTTTCTGATTCAAACTACGAGGTCCCTAAAGTGTGAACATGACTTTCAGGAAGGTCTCCAGGATGAACTAACAGTAGCAGACTGGGTGTCAGGAAACTCTTTCAGGCCCCACCCCATTCCTGACCAGCTTAGACAGAGGAGAAGTCCAGTTGTGCCCAGCAGGGAACCTTCATGGATTCTGCTAACATCAGATTTTTGAGCCAATCATGAACCACGCCTGGGCTCAGAGTCTCTGGGAGGCCACAGGGTGGAACCGCAGATGGCCTGCAGTGGGAACGCCTCCTCTCTGGACGTGACCTTGCAGCAGTCCATGCAGCAGCCCTCAGGCCAGCCCAGGAGCTGTCCTGTTTCTAGGGGACAGCTCAGTGAGAGGAAAGGGGACCCTCATGAGACTGGTATAGGAGCCATGCTGGCCTAGAACCCCACAATCCCACAGGCATAGCTCCCAGAGATCCCGCAAAGACCATGCTTGCTGTAAGTCACTGCCCGACCCTGGGGTAGTCTCACCAGATGTTAGAGGGCTCCGGTCCGGATGCCATGTACCAGCCAGGGGCCATTTTCACTATGATCAACGTTGCCCCTGTCATACTGGCATGTCCCTTCTTTACCCATTTCCAGGGATACTGAGCTCGGAAGGATTTTAACCCTTTAGATGTGCCTTTTCCTCTCTAGGCCTCAGTTTCCTCGTCTGAAAAATATCTGGCAAATTTTACAAATGGTAGCCAATTCCAAAATTTGAATGCTTCCATGATGTGGTTGTGACTGAGCTTACCAACTATGGTCTTCTGATAGTGGAAGGCCACAGGGGATGACTGTGAGGCCCAGGGGTCACTCTGTGGCCTGGCCCCTGACCCCTACCATCCCCTGTCACTGCCTGTGAGGCCGGCCACCAGAGGGCAATCCACACTTGCCCATACTGGGACTCACTGCCTCTCTCTGTCCAGGTGGGCTGCAAGCTGGTCATGGTCTTCTTCCAATACTGCATCCTGGCCAACTACGCCTGGCTGCTGGTGGAGGGCCTCTACCTTCACACCCTGCTCGCCATCTCCTTCTTCTCAGAGAGGAAGTGCCTCCAGGGCTGTGTCGCCCTCGGATGGGGTATGTTTCCCTGTGGGGACAGTGGCTGAAAGGCATATGGGAGAGGGCGCTGAGTCAGAAGAAGTTGGTTTCTAGTTCCAGCTCCACATTTAAAGTTAGTTAACTGGTGTGATCTTAGATTACTTGCTGTTTAACCATCAAGCTTCAGTTTATTTATCTGTCAAATGGGAAATGTTAGCTAAAATGTAGCCCCAATTTTGGGCATCTGAAGCTTTTTGCAGTTTGATCCTACCCAACACTTGTTGCCTCAGCTTCCTTAGACATTCCATTTATATGTCCTCATTTTTGCTTCCTTTCTATATTGGTTAGGGTGCTTTTGACTGTAGATATCATAAAATCTAGCTTATATAAGACTTAAATATAAAGGAAATTACCGGTAAGTGACTCATGTAACTGAAAAGCCCAGAGCCCACCAACTTCAGCATCTCAGCAGCGTTTTTTTTGTGTCTTTCTGCTTGGCGTTCTGTTAGTGCCCCCAGCTTCTGGGCTACTGGCTTTCTTGTTGCATCTAAGGAGGCACAGCATCCCCACCTGGTGGGAATGCTTTGCCCTAGCATTTCCAGCAAATTTCCTGAGTTTCTGATTGGACCAGTGTAAGTCTCACTTGAACCAATCACAGAGGCCTAAGGGGGTGGAATACACTGATTGGCTTAAGCTATTCAAATCACATAGCTTCTCAAAGGAAATCAGAATTCAGTTTCTAGAAAGGAGGGGAAATGATAGCGATAGGGAGACAATCAACTGCAGAACGAAATTCAGTGGATTCAAAATGGAAGGTTTTTATAAGCAGAAAGAAGATGGGCAAGAAATTTAAGAGTGGATTATTTCAGGCAAGGTCACCTTCCCTTAGGGAAGGGATGGGGAACCTTTTTCCTACCAAGGGCCATTTGGATATTTAGAACATCATTCATGGGCCATACAAAATTATCAACTTAAAAATTAGCCTGCTATATTTGGTCAAACATTTAATGCCTTGGCAGGGCCAGACCAAATGATTTGGGGCCATATATACCCACCCCACAGGTCTTATCAGGCAGGTGATCTTGCTAGTGCTGATCAGGGAATTTCTGATTGACACTGTAATTAGGGATGAAGGTTAGGGATGAAGTCTTGGTAGGGCCTAGCAAGAATGATGCCATTTGTGGTCTTTTCTTGTCTTTTAACTTCACCAATGCTCTTTCTAGAGACTTCTGCCTTCCTGCTCTATTGGGCTGATTTTTCTCTAGATTTGCTCAACCCCCTTAACTTTCATGCTGAGAATCTCCTTCATTTTCCTCCACAAATGTTATCCCTTTATTTCTTGTATCCCTCTCTTTAATTTTCTGATTATATCCTCCAGAATCTGCCTAAGAAAGAGTTCATGGAAAGTAGATATATTTTTGCATTGCATATCTGATAATATCTTTGTTTAATTTTCACACCTAATTTGTAGTTTTATTGAACATAGAAATTAGATTGAAATATAATTTCACCCAGAATTTTCAAGGCCTTCTGTTTTGGCATCTGATGTTAGGGACGTACCATGTCATCCTGTTTCTTGAGCCTTTTTATGCATCTCCCTATATAAGCCGAGCAATCGTCTCTCTGTATCTGTGTTTTAAAATGTCACAGGGAGGTGTAAATCCTTTTTCTGGCATCTAGTGGCTCTTTCATCTGGAAACTCACATCCTTCATTTTTAAAACAATATTCTTACATTATCTATTTAATCATTTTTCCCTTTCTGATTTTTATCCTCTTATTGAAACTTTTAATCAGAGAATGCATATCCTGGAATCAAACCTCTAATTTTCTCATTGTTTCTTCCTACTTTTAATTTCATTCTTTGTGTCCTGCTTTATCTTCCAATCCATCTATGAATTTTTAAAAAATCTTTGTTATCTATATTTCATTTCTGAGCCCTCTTCCTTGCTCTCCGAATGCTCCCTGCTTTCAGCATCCTGTTTGTGTCTTGCAGATATAACCTTTTTTCTCTATGATGATATTCCTGAGGGTTGTTTATTCAGCTTCCTCCTGCCTCCTGTATGGTCTGTTTCCTCTGAGTTCCTTTTCTCTGGTTGTTTTGGTCCTTGCCTTTTATGTCACCAGTTTTCCTCAGAAGTCAGTGGCCTTGACTTTTCATATTTAAGCATGAGTCACTCCAGAGCCGACTGAACGCAGTGTGTTGGGAGGCATATGTCTCCAAGGAGACTGGGCTAGAAGCGGCCCCTGTGGGGAGGGTTGCCAGCATCACTATCTAACCCCTTTGTCTGGGGCTATTTGCTTCCTCCAGAGAAGAACCCTCAGCCTCCTGCGTGGGGTAGAGGTGACAGGGGAGCAGGTCTGACACGGAGCAGCACAGGGTGGGGCTCTTACATGCAGCACCTAGATGAGCATGTCCACATGAAATAACATCTGAGCCACACACACAACGCACAATTCTCCAGTAGCCACGGTAAAAAGAAATACATGAAATCAATATTAAGCCAAAACTGTGAATAGAGCATCGGCCTGCGGACTGAAAGGTCGCAGGTTCTATTCCCGTCAAGGGCATGTACCTTGGTTGAGGGCACATTCCCAGTAGGGGGTGTGCAAGAGGCAGCTGATGGATGATTCTCTCTCATTGATGTTTCTCTCTGTCCCTCTCTCTTCCTCTCTGTAAGAAGTCAATAAAATATATTTTTAAAATGTTAATGACGTGTTTTCTTTCAACCCAATATAACCAAAATATTATTTTAACATATAATTAATATAAAAATTGTTAATAACATATCTTATATTCTTTTGTTTGTGCTAAATATTCACTATGCCTTCCACCCCAACACATCTCCATTGGGACCAGCCACACACCAAGCACTCAATAGTCACGTGTGGTGAGTGGCCACTGTCCTGGACAATACAGGTGTAGGCCATCATTTTGTCCCCTCTCTTCCCTGAGGTGTCCTCCAGGGTCTGTCTCAGGCTCCTGGGGGATTGAGACCCCTCGTGGCCTTCAGGATTCGTCTGATCCTGCCTGTTCCCAGGGCATCCCTGGAAACCGCAAGCCTGAGGCTGCCTGTCTGTGAGGACTGATTTCCAAGGGGGTTCCTCGGCCCTGGTTCTCCCCGGGGCTGGGAAGCCGGACTGTCTCGCTCTTCACACGGCCTCCCTCTGTTTCCGTCCCCAGGCTCCCCGGCCATTTTCGTTGCTTCGTGGGCTGTCACCAGGCACTTCCTGGAAGATGTGGGGTAAGCTGCTTGAAGGAGAGGCAACCAGAGTGCCCTTTACACCAACCAGTCTTCAGACAGGGTGGGCACTTCTGGGGACTGTCTAGGCAAGGCCTGTTTGCCACATGGGGTCCTGCACTGCCAAGCTGCCCAGGGCCATGCCCTCCAAGGCCACTCTCCCTGCCGGCCTGCCCAGCAGCTCTGTGCTTAGACAAGCGCTTCATAACTCCTGGCAGGTGCCGCCCAGGGAGGAGGCTATAAGGGCCAAGGCCGCTCTCCTTCCTCCTGGGCTCTCCTCCGCTCCTCCCTCTCACGTGCTCCCCAGGAGAGCCCTCATCAGCGCCTGCTGGGGACAGGAGGAGTCGTGTTCTCTAAAAGTGGGCAGCGCTGGGAGGGAGGTGAGCCTTCGAGAGGAGGGAGGCACAGGAAAGAAAGGCTGACAGGAGCCGGGGAGGGAGCGAGGCGGCGTGACAAAGCAGGCCGGTCCTCTCTGTCACAATGACACCCAGGCCGGGGCGTGGACCAGGTCAGCTGGGCTTACCTGGTCCACGGTTTCTTATAGTCCAAAATTGGCCCCAAATAGTGGTTTCAAATTCATTTTTATTGGGTAAATTAACTAAAAAAAAAAAAAAAAATCTGGATTTTTCAGCTTCTCTAGAAAAAATAGAAAGTTCTACTAACATTTTTCACTTTGGCAAACCAGCTGAACAGAGTGTGGCTGCCTTAGACCAGGCACATCCTCTCCAGGTTGCCAAGTACCCACCACACCTGACATCTGGGGGTCCTAGGTCACATGACAGTCACCCAGCCCCTTACCTCACGCATGTCACTTGCCTGGTTACTGATGGCAGTTGAGTTTTGAGATCTGGAATCTCTGACTCCAAGTTTCACGCACGTTTGCTCCCCGAGATGCTGACCAGGCATGATTGGAGACAGGGCACTAATGCCTCAGCCCCAGCAGTGCTCCCAGGCAGCAGGAGGGGCAGCAGGAGGGGGGCAGGAGGAGAGGGGCAGCAGGAGGGGCAGCAGGAGGAGGGGCAGCAGGAGGGGCAGCAGGGGAGGGGCAGCAGGAGGGGCAGGAGGGGGGCAGGAGGAGAGGGGCAGCAGGAGGAGGGGCAGCAGGAGGGACAACAGGAGGGGGCAGGAGGAGAGGGGCAGCAGGAGGAGGGGCAGCAGGAGGGGCAGCAGGAGGGGCAGCAGGGGGAGGGGCAGCAGAAGAGGGCCGGTTCCTCGTGCTGAGCACCAGCCACAAGGCAGGACCACGTGAAGGGCACCCACAGGAAGGGCACCTCGAGAATGAGTCTTTTCTGGTCAGCCCAGCTCTCACTCCTAGTGATGCCTGGCTGTGCCTCGTAGGTGCTGGGACATCAACGCCAATCCGTCTGTCTGGTGGGTCATCCGAGGGCCTGTGCTCCTCTCCATCCTGGTGAGTGGCCCTCCTCCCCTGTGCTGGGCTCAGGAAGAGGGACAGCACAGTGGCTGGCCTTAAGGACAGGGCCAGCCCCTCCCACCAGGTGCCGAGGAATAAAGCTCAGAGGTTGGCCTGCAGCAGGGCGGCTAGAAGTCCCACCCTAGAGAGTGGTGAGGGCAGGGGGGGCAGGGACAGGCAGGGGCGCAGGAGCTTCTGGGACTCATCTTCCCCATGTGAGGGTGCTGAGACATGGTGAGCTCTTCTTGCCCTCAACTGGCTGCTCCTCAGTGCCACCTTCACTGCCTCTGCTCTTGGGGCTTGGTCTTTGGAGGCCTCCCCCTGCTAAACTGGGAAGAGTCACTGAGCGGGGGTCGTGGAGGGAGGGCAGGTGTGGCTGGGAGGTGGTGGTCCTGGGCCCTCATCCTAACTCCCAGGTGCTTCTGCTGGGCCTATGGGTATGGACAGGAATGGGGGACGGAGGGAGGAGTTCATGGGGGGACGCAGCGGGGTTGTCTTGTGGACTGAGTCAGCCCCTCCGCTGAGCACTGGCTCAGAGGGAGCCGAGGCTGCAGGACCAGGTGACAGAAAGTGCTCCCGTGGCCTCGCTGGAGCAGGGAGAGGGCGAAGGACATGGCAGCGGCCTCTCCTCATCCACCGGCCACTGGGCGGCCTCCGGGGGCTGTGGGGGGAGGCGGCCATCCCATGACTTTCTTCTCTTTTTTTGGAAAATGATAGAATTTGTATTAAAAAATAGGAAGACACTATATATATATATTTTTTTTAATTGATTTTTCTTACTGAGAGGAAGGGAGAGAGATAGAGAGCTAGAAACATCGATGAGAGAGAAACATCGACCAGCTGCCACTTGCACCCCCCCTACCGGGGATGTGCCTGCAACCAAGGTACATACCCTTGGCTGGAATCGAACCTTTCAGTCTGCAGACCGACGCTCTACCTCTGAGCCAAACCGGTTTCAGCACAAAATATATTTTTAAAAGGGAATAAAATCACCCATAAATCACCATTTAGCATCTAGATACACATTATGAATACACATGCTTTTCCTTATCTGATTTGACATTTTTATTTATTTACTGTTTTTCAAGAGAGAGAGAGACAGAGCCATCAATTTGTTGTCCCATTTATTTTTTAAAATATATGTTTATTGATTTCAGAGAGGAAGGAAGAGAGAGAGAAACATCAATGATAAGAGAGAATCATTGATTGGCTGCCTCCTGCATGCCCCCTACCGGGGCTCAAGCCCATAACCCTGGCATGTGTCATTGACTGGAATTGAACCCAGGACCCTTCAGTCTGCAGGCCAATGCTCTATCCACTGAGCCAAACCAGCTAGGGCTGTCCCACTTATTGGTGCATTCATTGGTTTGTAAGTGTCCTGACCAGGGATTGAACCCATAACCTTGGGGTATCAGGACAACTTTCTAACCTGCTGAGCTAACCAGCCCAGCCAGGGCTCCTTCCTACCTTTCCTTTGAGCACACATTCTCCCTCCACCCCAAATGCTGCGTAAGGTTTTGTGGCCTCGTTTGTTGGCTTGTATCACTTAGCAGTAGATGTGAGCTCTCCCATGTCCTTTGAAGTCATTTGACCAACCAGTGGCCACGGCTGCATAGTACTCCCCCGGAGGTTTCCTCACTCTGTCAAGAGGTTTTCTTTCTGGGACTCTGGAAATCTGACAGCCCCTCCCGGTGGACCCCAGCTGAGGAATGGCCAGCCCCAGTGTCCAGGCTGACTTCTCAGGACTGTGGTCTGTCATAGTTGAGGGAGGTGGGATGGGCACTCCATATGCAAAATACCTGTCACGCAGCCCAGAATTGCATCATTTACATCTCATTCTTGAGATCCTAAGATTTTGTTTCGTTTGCCTATAAGAGCTTCCTATTAAATTAAATGAGCTCTAAGACAATCAGATGAAATTGATGGCCTTCCTTAGGCCACCCTATGCACAGCCAGCTCAGAGCCCGGTGCATACCAATCTGAGCAGCAGAGCCCCAAAGCAGCAGTGCTGGGCGGGGTGTCCTAAACAGGTCGCTGGTCCTGTGCATTCTGGCAAGCGTCCCCAGGCCCCAGGCTATTTGTATGAAAAAGAAGGTGCCTCACTGGGCAATCCCCCTCATCGCTGCTTCTGGAAATGGTGCTGGGGCTGGTGCTGAGAGGGGAGGAGAGGTGCCACCAGGTGGGCAACTTCATAATGTTCTGACGCTGAGCACCCGGGTCGGGGAAGGGAGCACCAAAGTGAAGGAACTCCACTCCTGTCCTTTAGGACGTTATGATCGAGCTGGCAGACAAACAGACAAGCATACAACTTTGACAGAGGCATGCATTTAACCCCTCTCAAACATGTCAAGTGCTCTTATGCGGTAGCATTACCCCTAACTACAGTGCATGAGGAAAAGGAGGGAGGTGACCAAGGAGGGCTTCCTGGAGCTGGTGGTTGAGCTGCCAAGTGACCATAAGGCACTGAGGCAGTTCTGTGTGATCCCTAGACCAGCAGCTTCAGCATTGCCTGGGCGCTTAAAAAATGCAGTCTGCATTCTAAACTTTGAGAACCTGTCGGTAACGGTTCTACTCAAAGTGTAGCCCAAGAGCCAGCTTTAGCATTCCGGGAGCCCGTGAGACCTGCACTTTAACAAGCTCCCAGGGGTTCCAGGCTCTGGGTGTGAGTAGTCCTGCCGTGGCTGAGCTGACTTTAGGCTCCCACAGTGCTGGGCAGGAGTGCTGGGCCTCCACAGCTCCACACAGCGTTTCCCCAGGATGAGGTGGGGGCAGAGGGGAGCAGTGATGCGCCATCCTGGGGTCCTGGGTGTGGTCTCAGTGCCTTCTCTGCCTTCAGTCTCAGGAGAGGTGATGGGGAGGCACATCATCTTTAACACCCCTTTGTCTTGTGTTTTACAGATTAACTTCATACTTTTTGTAAACATCCTAAGAATCCTGATGAGAAAGCTGAGAACCCAAGAGACAAGAGGAAACGAAGTAAACCATTATAAGTGAGTGGAGGGCGAAGTCTTAGGCATGCTCCGTCAGCGCACATTTACTGAGCATCTGCTGTCCACCCAGCTGGTGCTAGGCACCACTGGGCACGGGGGAGAAGGGAAGAGTGTGACCTAGTTCCACGGAGTTTATAGTATAAATGGGAGCAGGAGGACAGGTCTGCTGTGAAGCCGGAGATACTGCACTCAGGGGGAGGAGATAGGAAATCCCAGCAGGACCCTTGGAGTCAGGGGTTTCACACTTGGGAAAAGGCTAGGTAGGTTTATTTTTCAGGGAGAGTAACCTCAACTTCCATCAGATTTTTAAGATGTGTAATCCAAGAATACTTTAAAACCATGAGACGTTAAAGAGAGATGCTGTATTAGTTTGCTAGGGCTGCCATAAAATTCCACAGAATTTTGAACAAGGGATATTTAATTTCTCACAGTTGTGGAGGCTGGATGTCCAAGATGAAGGTGTCGGCAGGTTTGATTTCAATGGAGGCCTCTCTCCTTGGCTTGTAGACAGCTGCCTTCTAGCTGTGTCCTCATACGGCCTTTTTCCTGTGCTCACATAAGCCCCACACTAATGACCTAATCAACCTAATCACCTTGTGTAGGCCCTATTAGAAAATAGTATTGTCACATTCTAAGGTCCAGCTGGTTAGAGCTTGAACTTGTGAATTTGGGCGAGGGCGAAATTCAATCCATCACAGATATTAAAGGCAAAGCAGTGTCTCCCAGAGACCTTCTCTGCCGTGTTCACAGTGTTAAGAAGCTAGCAGCAGCCCGGATTGCTTGGTGACAGATTCCTTAGGCTGTCTGCAAGGCAGTGGGCTCCAACGTAGGGTGGAGCTGGGCATTCTGAATAAAACTGCCAGATAAATCCAGGTCGCTCAATTCAATTTGAATTTTGGATAAACAACAAATAGTATTTTTAGCATTTGCATTCCCCCCAAAATCCATTGTTCGTTTGAAATTCAAATTAAATTGGGCATCCTGTATTTTTATTTGCTAAATTTGGTCAATCTAATCTGGGAAGAAAATGAAAGAACTCTTTATTATCAAACAAATGTGAATGCGGGCCTTGCTGATACTACATTAGGTCCCGAGGGGCAGCCATATATGCACATCGTCATGAGTAAATAGTTATTTGAGTGGGCCCCTGTTCTGATGTTTTTACTGGTGGGATGCCCACTCAGGAAGTTTTGGGACTGGCCCTGGGTTGCTAAGTGTTGTGTCTCAGTGACGGGTACGTGAGAGTTGAAATTTTTCCAGAATAAAAAGTAAAAACAAAACAGTTTGGGAACACTGCTGCTATGCCTCCTGCAAAAGATGAGAGGGGGTGTGCAGAGCTGGTCGCCCCCAGCCGAGCCAGGGGCAGAGACTGCCACGTGTCCCTGTGTCTGTCCGTCCGCAGACGGCTGGCCAAGTCCACCCTCCTGCTGATTCCGCTCTTCGGCGCCCACTATATCATCTTCGCCTTCTCGCCAGACGATGCCATGGAGATCCAGCTGTTCTTTGAACTGGCCCTGGGCTCCTTTCAGGTGAGTTTCGGGCCTGTGACTTTCGGGAGTAAAGAGTAGTTAGTTCCCTGTTTCCTGAGAGCGGACTGCAGCCTGGCCTGCGAGCCTGGCCTCTGGAAGGGCTGAGCCGTGCGGTTTGGGGAGGGGATGCCTCGTGGCAGAGACACAAGAAAAGCAGGGACAGGACCTCACTGTGCTGTGTGACCCTGAGGGGACCCAGATCCCCATCCGGCAAGTGGGAGTGGGAGGTAAGACGAAGGGAAGAGACGGATTCTGGGAAACAAAAGGGAAAAGTAACCCGAGCACGCAATATTGTGCAACTTTCAGCCTCCACACAGGCAGCGATGTGAGCCCCGAGGGTGATGGCTGAGCCATCAGAAAATGGGGCAGACTTATGTGCACACATATGAGCTAACCAGTGGTCAAGGACAATAGGAGGATGGGGACATGGGGAGGGGATTGGAATGGGGGGTTGAGGACAAATATGTGATACCTAAATCAATAAAGAAATTAATTAAAAAAAAAAAGTGGGGCAGGAGGATGAGCATTGCGGAAGGGTGTTTGAAAGAATAATACACTCACATCTATAGTGGGAAGTCCATAGAAATGCCCCAAATTGAGAAACCAGAAGCAGCAGCATCAGCGTATTATTGAGAACCAGTTACGAGTCCCAGCAGTTGCCTCAGAGGAACAGGAAATGGGGGAGGAGGTGTCAGGAGGCTGCTTTGTGTGACTAGAATCATCTGACTCTGAAACCATGAGCGTATACAACTTATTAAAAAAAAAAAACCAACTTAAAAGGGGAAACAATAAAGGGAGGAATTGCCTACCTACCATACTAATTCCACATGCGTTGTGAGGTTAAAAAAGGAGTAGCCATGTCTGGCCACAGGGGTTCCACAGGTCACTTGCTCACCTGCTCACAGTGTGTTCTCCCGTAGACAATGTGGGGTAGCTTTCAGGGAAAACGTGCAGAGGGCGCTGTCACGAGGGGTCAGTGAAAAGAGAAAATTAAGCCAAAAGCACTCATACAGAAGCCAATTCCATTAAGTCCTGTAACGGCGGGACAGGCGGGTCAGAAACTCAGTCTGGAGCTTCCCAGGAGCCAAAGCCACGGCAGAAACACATTTGTTTCATGATTCACAGCATCCACAGGTGAAGACAAGCTAGTGCTCTGGAAAGGCCTCCGGATTATAGGCTTTGGGGCCTGAGAGGCATTTCCCCCCGTGGGTTTTCCTAAGAAGCCAGCCTGTTCCCAGCGGGGTCCATCAGACCTCCGTCCTCTTTCCCAGGCCAGCCAGCGCCCCGTGAGGGACTCAGAGCCTCCTCACTCCCACTTCTGTCAGGGCGGGCCCGGTGCTCAGAGCCTCCTCACTCCCAGCTTCTGTTGAGGGTGGGCCAGGTGCCCAGAGCCTCCTTCTGTTCTGTTCAGGGCCATCCTTTTGTCACTCTCAGGACACATCACTGGGAACACATAATTGAGTGGAGTCCAGTCTTGCTCTAAACCACACCCTCAGACCCCCTCGCCCGGCTGTCCCCTCTGCCCTCCCCTGAGCTGCCTCTGCCCAGAGCCCCAGCAGCGCCAGAGCACTGGACCTCCAGAGGACGCAGCCTCTGGAAACCCAGGACTCTTTCTCTAGGCCAGAAGCGTTGAGCCCACTGCTCTTGGAATGCACGGGAGGCACATTTAGCAGAGAGGGGGGTAGAGGTGGGGGGCTCCAGGTCCAGGCAGCTGGAAGGCCTGACCCAGCTGAGAGGGGCAGTGGCCTCTCTGAGAGCACGGACCCAGGTGGCCCCTGCGAGACGGGGACTCCCTGCCCTTTGGCGCTGGGGCTTGTCTCTGGGGCTGTGGACACCCAGGAAAAGGCTCTTCTCTGGAGAAAACCAGAGCACTTTCCTGCATTCCCATAGGAATGCTTACAGAGAAAAAGAATCCTGAGTGGGTTTTTAAAAGAACCTTTGTTTACATACAAACATATATCATTGTTTGCATTATGGCATTTATATTACATATAATATATTTTTTAAAGTTTGTAATTTGGGAAATTTCTCCCATATGTATACAAAAGTGAAGAGAACAGTAAACCCCACATGGTCATTGCCAGTGGCATACCCTGTTTCATCCCAGCCCCATCCACTCCCTCTCCCACTCCCCGCCCCGCCCCCAGCATTCTAAGCAAATTCAAGACATCGCTTTATTTCAAATGTAATTATTTTAGTATGTCTTTCTAAAAGATAGACTTAAAGAAGAACACACACAGAAACACAGTACTATCACCTCTATCAATGTTTTTAAAAACCAAAGTTTATTCGCGCTTTCAATTGTAAAAATAATAATTGGTTGAAGGAAATTTGGAAAGTAAGGAAACCTTGAAAGAGAAAAATTCATTCATAAGCGCAGAATCCAGAAATGACCTCTTGAGATGTGGGTGCTTACTTCTCAGTGTGTTTTCTGTGCAGGAACACACACACAGGTGTACCCTAGGCACGTGCAATTGGGATCAAGCTGTTTGCAACCTGTTTGTTTGCTTAATTCTCATCAGGCCCATCGGGAACAACTCCCCATGTCATTAAAAGTCTTTAAAGACTCCATTCTGAATGACTGCAGAATTCCCACTGTGGCTGGCTCTGTAAGGCCTCCTTATCCGTACCTGGAGCACATCTAACATTCCCTGGCCCAGGGCACCTGCCCTCACCTGGGAAAATGTGTCCCAGGATCTTTGGGGCCCAGACAGGTGAGACCTGGTAACCCTGGGCCAGTGAGGTGGGCAGCGGCCTCAGCTGGCAGCCTGACAGCCCCCTCCGGCCAAGCAGACAGCTCTCATGCTGCCTGAATCCCGGAGGCTCAGGTCACTCCCCTGTGAAGGGGATCCTCCCACCCGCCTCCTAGAGCTTTGGCAAAGATTAAATGAAGCACCTGGCACCCAGAAACCCACAGCTGTGCAGGCCAAGCTGTGCTCAAAGCTGCTGTATCTCAGCCTGCCCTTCCTGCCCTCTGGCACGGGTTCCTAAGTGATGTCCATCCCCACCACCCGGGGAGTGTTCACAGCTGCGGATGCCCCAGCCCCAGACCTTGAGATTTGGGTGCAGAGTAAAACCTGAGCAGAGCTCCCAGGTGTTCTAATGTGCAGCAAAAGATCTGTTTTGGGTAAGTGTTTGCCACTCCCTACCCCCACAACGCCCCCCCCCCCAAGTTGTCCCTGTTCTAGGCAGCAGTCATTGATGCCTGAAAATCTAAAGCAAGTCTCCTAGTTTTGTCACTAAACCTTGTTCAATGCCAACACCCCAGGGCCATCACGGGATTAAGTCCACTATAGACGGGCCGGTGTGTTGCTCTTTGGGGTCCTTTCCAATGTAATAAGTAGCTAAGGGCAGGCCTCGATGAAATTAGAGAAGAGGGCTTGGGCCACTGAGGTCAGAGCTGTGACACCTAGTCCTGTAATGTAAGGACGAGCAGGATGGCCCCTGGTGGGTCCCTGAGGTGGTGAGCAGGGAATTTGCACAGCAGAGACCTTGCTCATGGTTCTACGCACACCTATCAGGCTCAGCTCCTGCATTGCAGAGCTCCACGCCCCCATCCCAGGGGACACCAGTGGGCACACAGGAGCCCCTGATAGTGGGAGGCACAGGCCCCACCACAGATCGGATGTGGCCCGGAGGCCCCTGCCCCAGGAGATGCATTCACCTGTCCGCTAGCAGGGAGGTCATGCCCGCGGCTGGCACATGCACACGGGCTTATTCTGACCACACATCGGCACATTCATTTTTCCGTTTGAATAGTTGGCCATGTTTAAACATCTCCAGCTTATCTTCTTTCCCTTTAAATATTTATTTGGGGGAGGGGACACCACTCTTCTACTCAGTTGAAAACAGCATTTTGAGCAGAATTGCCTTTTGTTTCTTTACACCTGTCATGCCACGAGCTGCAAGGGAGTGGGCTCCCGCGGCCCAGGCTCCGTGGCCCTGGTTCTCACAGGGAGCTGCCCTGGGCGGAGCAGCTACTTCAGTTGAGCCCAGGAACCTTTCTGTTTGGCTTCCTTCTCTCTCTGAACATTCTCCTTTATGTTTCAGGAAGCTCTCTCGCCTCTTAGAGGCTGGACATGCTCAACTCCTACTTTCATTCTCTTGGCAAGAATCTTGCCCTTGTGTGTTTGCATGCTCAGGCTTGCTGGGTGACATTGCAAGCCTTCCGTTTGCCCTGGGAACATTTGTAGGCATCCTTTTTGAGCAGCGCCCTCGAAGGCATCATCGCCTTCCTCGTAGATTCGCACGTGCATGGCCCAAGGGGCAGCTTGGTGTTTTCTAAGAGAACATGGAGCAGGGCCTCTCTTTCCCTTTGCGTTAGTCATTCTGGCGGTTCGGTGGGAAGGCCCAGCTTGTCTTGAACTTGAGCCCACATAGGGCCCAGGGTGTCACATGGATGGCCCCCAGTCCTTCGCCAGGTGCCACTATCCGCTGCTTCTCCCAGGTGGCTCCCCTAACCAGGTGACTGGCCTTGCCCGTGCCCTGTTAGAGCCCTTACTTCAGTGTCATGGACACCACATGTGCAAGATCTACACTAGGCCCTGGGACAACAAATGAAAGGAACCCTGCCCTTGCCCCAAGGAGCTGCATCACAGAGGTGATGCAGCACAGACAGAGGAGGTGAGGGGTGTGAGAAGGTTCTGGAACACTCTCTGTAAGGGGAAAGGGGGAGCCTGGGCTGGTGAGGAAAAGAGCTGAAAAGAGGTCAGAGGGAGGCTGGTGTTGGGCACCTGCACTAACCCTGCTGCCCTGTCCCTCCGCAGGGCCTGGTGGTGGCCGTCCTCTACTGCTTCCTCAATGGGGAGGTGAGTGCTGGGTTGCCCAGCGCCGGGAGGGCTCCCTCCCACTGGATTCTGGTCAGAATGAGCTGCCTGGAAAGCATGGCGGAGTGGGCAGGGCAGGCCGGGTGCTGGACTTGGGCCTGTCTTCACAGACTCTGAGTCACTTTATGGGAACAACAGAACCTCCTGGAAGGCTTGGTCAACAATTGCTGGGCTCTGCCCCCAGTTTCCAGTCAGCAAAAATGGCCTGGGTAGGAGCCTGGGATGCTTTTAACAAGCACTACAGCTGGTGCTTATCCTGGGAAAGCTCAGAAATGGAAGAGAGTGCAGGCACTCCCCCGGAAGCCAGCTCCTGGCGGGACAGTGACCTGTCGCTGCCCCACTCCAGGCCTCAGTCTTCCCGTCTGTAAAATGAATAACTCAACTGGCACTTCTGCCAACTCCAAGGCTCCCAGATGGCCTCCTTCAGGCCTGCATGCTTAGCTTGAGGCCTGTGCCCTTACCCAGCATTTGGGTCAGGACATGAGGCTCCTGGCCCACAGATGCTGTGTAATCACAGTGAACACGGCATTGCACATAGTAAGGCATTTCTTTGGCTGTTGGCCATCTCTCTGCTTCGCCACACACTAATGGGGGTAACGTCTGCCGTTTCCTCGGAGTGAGCCATCAAGCCCGGCCTCCAAGGTCTGGCTGCTCCAGCCGGGGTCGTGGAGGGAATTTCCAGAGCAGCTCTCTTGCCCTCAGATGAGCTCTGAGCCAGGGCGGCTTCCTGGGAACGTGTCCTGCTGACCCATAGATGATGAGGATGTTGGTGTTCTGGAGCTAGTGTGACAACGGCAAGCCCCTCAGGACATTTGTAGTGAGATGGCAGGTGGACGCACCCAGAAAGGACCCTCAGTATTCCCTGGACATTGGGGTTGGAGTCGGTCAGTCCAAGTGGCCTGTAGGAGGGGGAGGCATGCCTATTGGGCAGGAGTGGCAGAACCGTGCGGAGGCCCCGGGGGGTGAGCGGGACTCTGGACCTCGGGCCTTTCTTGCGTTCCCTTCCTGGCTGATGGCTGGTCTCCGGGACAGGTGCAGCTGGAGGTTCAGAAGAAGTGGCGGCAGTGGCACCTGCGTGAGCTTCCACTGCGCCCCCTGGCCCTCAGCAACTCCACCAGCATCGGCACCAGCAGCCTCACCCACGGCACCAAGGCCAGCCCCTTGGAGCCGGGTCGGGGCACCTGCAGGGCCAGCGTCATCTGAGAGGTCGGAGCAGGGCCATCGTGGACACAGGCCACTCTGGGTCCTGAGAGCGCAGGCCCTGCTCCGGGACAGTCCATCGCCTCCCCCCACCCCCAGGGGGGTTGGAGGGCAGCATATGCTTTCTCCTGAGACCGAGACCTCTTCTCCAGGCCCCGGGTTGGAGGGTGAGAGTCCCTCAGAATCCACACAAGGAACTTGGGCCGCATGGGACAAGGGGAGGGGAAGAGTAGCAGCTCAGGGGTCTGAGAAGGGAGCAGGAAAATAAATGGGAACTGAGGGGAGATTTGGTGTGTGTGTCCGTCCTTTTGTCCTTGAGACAGGTGAGGGAGGATGCTCTGGTCCACTTCCTACCCCTTCCTGGAGGAGGGGCTTCCCTGGTCCCCAGCTCGTTTTCAGGGACTAACCTAGAAGCTCCGGAAACATGAGACATCCAGGTCCTTGGCCCCAGTGGACCCTTCCTGACCCTCGCCTGTCCAGAGGCTCTCATCCTAGAGCCTTCAAGACCACTGCTGCATTGACCTGAGCAGGTCCCAGTGGAGGCCAGGAGAGTCCCAGGACCCAGCTCCCTTTAGCAGCCCTGACATGGTCTGAGGGCCAGCGTCATCTGCCTTCCTGCCCTGACAGGCATTTATCCTGGCCCTCAGGACAGGGGGAGCAGGAGATGGGGCATTATACCATTTGATAGAAGAGAAGCAGGTTCACCCAGGCCCTGTGACTTGCCCAAACTACTGGCCAGGAGGGGGCAGAAGTTTGGTCCAGGGTTTCAGGTCTCAAATCCCCACGCTCCAAGCCTGTCTCCTTTCCCAGGGCCTGCCTCCCCCTCCCATTGGGGATTTCAGTCTCACCTTTTCTTCTCTGGATCTCAGTTCCCTGGAATTCCAACACTCCCTCCCCACCAGCCTTGTAAGGATTGAGGAGCACTCAACATCTAAATCCTTTTTACAAAACAAAAACCCCGTGCTCTCCGGCCCACGCCCCACGCGTCTGGATGGGGTGGAGACCCCGCCCCCAGTGTAGAGGAAGAGCATCTTGCTGGTGAGAGGTCCAGCTCTGGCCCCGGCTTTGGGTGGCCTGGGGGAGTGCCATCCCTCTCTGGGCCTGACCCCCACCTCTGCACCCCTGCGGAGACAAGGTTACCCTTTGTCCCTGGAAGACCGCTCCTGGTGAAAGGCCAGGCGCCTGCCTCCGGGGCCAAGAACCCAGCCGATAGGTTGATGAGCTCTGCCCTCCAATTACCAATGGTCCACACCTTTCTCAAGCCATCTCCACAGACTGTGCATTTTAGAATAAAAGTTTTTAAAAACACAAGAGGTAGGTACAAGCACCTGGCCCAGCCCAGCCCAGGAAGGAGAACTGAGCGACCAAAAGCTCATCCACCCAGTGGCAGCCAGAATGAGCCAGGGCAGGCCAGACTGCATTAGGTAGGGGAGCGGGGGTGGGGGATGGGTGGGAGGGGGTTAGGGTGGAGTGAAGTGGGCTGAGGGCACAAAGGCACTGGAAAGGGGGCCACTTAATGCCCCAGACACTGATCTGCTGGTGAGGATGGAAATCTTCACTGGTTCCTGGTCCCCTTGCCCTGTGTGCATCTTCAGGAGTTTAACCATCACCCACGGCCCAGCAGCTGCAGACACTGCTCTGTGAATGTGTCCTTGGATCAGAGATGGCACACCTCAGGCTGCCTGAGCCTCATCAAACATGGACATGCACACTCGCCTCAGGGAGCGTTGCACGTTCGAAGTCAGGTGGACTTTTCTGGAAGGCTTGCTCCAAAACTCTTCCCTAAGAGATCAGGCAGGAATCTTACAGGCAGAGCCCCCAGAGGACACAGCCAGCTGCTGGCAGTGGAGGGTTAACAGGGAGTATAGGGTTTCCCAAAGGGCAGGGGTTGAATAAAAAAAAATGGTTTGAAAAACTACCAGGTGCAAGAAATCCCGAGGGGACCCTGCATTCTGCCTCCCTGGCATGGCCAGAGCTAAAGCAGAGGGGTGTGCCCCGAGGTCCCCAGTTGGTGGAAGAAGTCCTGGCTCTCGCTGGACACCCTCAGCTGGAAAATGATCTGCTCTTTGCCCCCGCAGAGCCCCAGGGACCCCAGCTGGTCCCCCTGCACAGAGCCAGGGAGCCGATGTGAACAGCACTTGGCTGCGCAGCCAGCCCAGGCACCAGTGACCAGAGCTGTTTCCAAATCTCTTCCCGTCCTGGGGAGGAGGATTCAAGGAAAGGATTTTAAAATGCGTTCTACAATCTACATCCTAATAAGTTGGCTACACTTGTGCAGCTGGTGGCATGGAGGCACTTCTGGCTGACCACCCAAAGGGTACTGGGTAAGAGGCAGCAGTTCCGAGGTCACTGTCCCACTCCTACCCCCATCGGAGGTCATGTCTTGACCACGTTCTTGTAGAACCCGATGTCCTTGGAGGAGGCCTAACACTCGCTCAGCGGGCCCCAGGGCCGGCTGATGCTGTTGATGTGGAGGCCGCTGATGGCGTTCAGGAAGAGGAGGAAGGAGGCGGTGAACTGGCACCAGAACATCAGGGTGAAGCCGGTGAGCGTGACCTGGCTCCGGAGGAGGATCACAAAGCTCAGGAGCCCCGCGGCGGAGAGGGCAAACGAGACGAACAGGAGGACGCAGCCTAGGGCCCACTTGCGCCGCGAGTGGAGGTCCTCGCACACCTGCGACACCATGAGGAGCTCCAGGCCGAAAATGGCGGCCACCACGGCCAGGGCGCCCACGCTGCGGGCCAGGACCATGCCCACGGCCAGCCCCGGCACGCGGGCCTCGCTCAGGTCTCGGAGGCAGTGCGGCCCCGTCTGGTTGGAGCTGGTGCAGAAGTGCCAGAGCCCGAAGAGGCGGCCCTCAGCCAGCAGCCAGTGGCCGTCGCAGATGGAGATGGAGGAGAGGACCATGGCCAGCGCAGCACACACGATGATGAGGGTCCGGATGAAGGATTCGAAGAAGGATCGGTGGGGCCTCCGCTGGCCCAGCAGCCTGTGGGCCTGGAAGACACACAGAGGTGGCCTGTCAGGGAAGGCCCGCCACCCCTTCCTGTGCAGGGAGACCCTGAGCATGCCTCCCCTTCCCACAGCCATGACTTCTGCTCCGTCTCCTACGGAGCCTGGAATAGGGCCCTTACTCAGCTTCCTCCCCAGTTCCTCCTTCTTGGGGGACCTTCCCCCTTCTACCTGTTCCCTGTTCTCCATTTGAGACCTGTACACATTGTCACGTTGTTTTCCAGGCCCAAAGCGTTCCCTGACATTTCTTCAATGATCTTCATGAGGAAGAAATCCAAATCCTAGTCCCTTCTGAATTTGGAAAGTCTGTCTGGCCTGGCCAGTGTGACCTTGAGCTTGCAGCTGGCCTGAGTTTCTGTATAAGCAAAACAAGGAAACTGCCTGGAAGGCTGAGGGTTGTAAAATCACTGGAACAAGTTTCCTCTCTCGCCAGGTCTTCCCCAGGGCAGGTCCAGTTTCCTCCTAACCCCCACCGGCCGGCTCTGCACTTTCCACATTCTGCCCGGCCTCCGTGATATTACTGTGACCTCAGTACTGACGGTGCTGTTTGCACCTTGCCCTTCAGTCTTGCTCGGCTCCTCCCGGGACTTGCCAACCAGACTTTCTGTTCTGGCAGCTTCTTGGAGGGGGGGAGGGGTTAGCGGGTGTGGAGCCACTGAGGCTTTTCTTTAACCTCAGGTGTCCCCTCAACCTCGTCTGACAGCGGATCCAGGCACCCAGTGAGGTGTCCCTTATCTCACAGCCCTCAGACACCACCCAGTGCCATTCCCAGCCACCAGCCCAGGAAGCAAAATAAACACTTTAGAGCACATTCCTCACCCGGCCCCCAGCGCTGCAGATCCGCCCTGTCTCCCTCCCCAGTGGACCCCCTGGTCACCTCACTCAGGCCCAGCAGCTCCTCTCCTTCCAGGCCTAGGCCAAGCCTAGAACTTTCTTCCCTCAGACCTATTGGCCCCTCCACCTGAAAGGGTCTGTTCCAAGTTGCCCCTCTTCTCCACTCTTTAAAAATGTCAGACATGTCTTTTCTGCCTGCCGGGTCCCCTCCTATCACTTCCCATCAGGCATCGTTTTCCCCACCGTTCTGATCACAGGTTATCCATTCCCTTCTGACTTGTATTATATATTATCTATCTTCCCGAGAGAAACTACTATGTCCCCAGTACCTGGCACAGAGCTTGACCTGGGCATTCAGTGGGTGTGCAAGAAGGGCCATGGGATAACTGAACGGTCAAGTTTGCAACCACCGTCACTTCCACCGGAATCTGCCTTTGAACCCAAGTCTCCCGCCAGCCGGTGTGTGGCAAAGCAGCCCGGGTTACACTTGGGAGGTAAGCAAAACGACAGCTCACACATGACAGCGATGCTGGGGCACTGAACGGCTGTGGAGACGCCCTGCACCCTCCAGAGGCAAGTCCAGGCCACGCCTCTCGGTGAGGGACACAGAATAAAGCCCCGCTCCGGGCACAGCCCTGTGGTTAGGGTCCTAGAACATCAGGCTGGCTGCTAACTTGCAGAGGAGAGCTGGAGCTTCTGCTAATTTCAGTCCCAGGGTCACGTGAAAAAGGACCTCATTTGCTCTCTGCACTTCTGCTTCAGAGGGTCCCGTTTTACTCCGAAACCTGTGCGGTTGGTAGAGTAAGAAGCTCCATGCAAAGAACGAAACTGTCATGCAGAGGTCAGGGGACTTGCCCGAGCTCACTCACCTACATCACAAAAAGCCTGTTACCGCTGCCCAGCCCCCGGAAAACTGGCAGTGTGCCGGGAGGAGAGGCTCAAGGCACCAGCTGTGGCCTTCCCGGTGCAGGGCCTTGTGTTAGGGGCTCAATGGCACTGGCGAGGGAAAGGGTTCAAGAGGGCGGAGGGGGCCCCAGCTGCCAGGACAAAGGCAGCCGTGGGGCAGCGAGGAGCACCAGGCAGGAGTCCGGGCTGTGCTTCTCAAACTGTGTCCCCTGCTTCCGATGAGGCTTCTAGGTGCCCATCAGGGGGGCAGGGGAGCTGCCTCTGGGCCCTTCCTCACTCCAACTAGCAGGTACCTGCTGGAGATGGGGGGATCCGGAGTCTGTACTGGGAAGATTAGGAAAACCAGCTGTGCTGCTAAAACAAACCAAGGGAACGCTGAAATCTCTGTCTACAAACCATAAAGGTGTTTTTCCTGGCCCCTTTCTTCACCTCCTTGGCCCTTGTCCCCTCACCTACCCCGTGGAGCTGTGACACCCGCGGAGCAGCAGTGGCCATAAAGGCCCCGGCAAAGCTACACCCCAGAGGTTGATAAGGTCGTGCGTGGGAAAGCCCCAGAGCAGAGAGCAAGTAGCAAGAACATGGGGCCCAGAAGCTTCTGCCCCCAGACATCACGCTGTCTGGGGAACAGGCACGTCCCGTCCCTCTCGGCCCCACCTGTCCGGAGCACAGACTGGACTTTAAGCCCTCAGCTATCACGCCAGGCTCAGAAGGAGAAGACAGCTGATGTCAGCTCATTCTTCCCTTGGGCATCACTTTAATCTCTTAGAGCGTTGACTTTCTTGGATAAAAATGGGCAAACCTTTCCCTTTATTCGTCTGTGAACCCAAATGAATGATTTCTTGTGACTCACACAGTGTACCATGACACTCGTGGGCCTTTGAGTCCCAGGCCAAGATCTTATAACCTGGGTCCCCATCTGCACCCAAGTAGGCACTTTGGGCGGCCCCAACACAGCCTCTAAAATCCACACTCCCCTCCCGCCATCATCAGTTGGAGCCACGCCAGTGGCTGCAGGTGCAGCCCCAGAAGCCAGCCATTCCACCTCTGGCAATGATCCCCTCTTTCCTCACCTATAAAGGGGATCTCAGCGGCTACCTCAGTGGTGGCTGCCACTGAAATGAGACCTCCCTCCAGGTGCTCAGAGCAGTTCCTGGCTCCTTGGTTAAGTCTCCGGAGCCGCAGTGGCCATTGCCATACAAGGCAGCACTCTCCCCCTCAGGGCAGCCTGTGTCCAACCCCAGAGCCCTGGCCTTCACCTGACTCCCTACTGCTCCCCACCCCCAGCGGGCCTCCCCTCTTCCTCCACCACCCACCTAACCGCACACAGCACTCCCTCCATCCCGCCCTCAGCTTTTATAGCTATATATATTTTTTTAATTGATTTTTTTACAGAGAGAAAGGAAGAGGGATAGAAAGTCAGAAACATTGATCAGCCGCCTCCTGCACACCCCCTACTAGGGATGTGTCCGCAACCAAGGCACATGCCCTTGACCGGAATGGAATCAAACCCGGGACCCTTGAGTCAGCAGGCCCACGCTCTATCCACTGAGCCAAACCAGTTTCTGTCCGGTCCGCCCTCAGCTTTTGCACCAGGTAACTTAGCACTCACTGCCCGACCTCTTCCAATTCCTTGTTTACAAGTCTCTCTGGGAACGGGCAGTCAGTTCCCTGCGGGGAGAGCCCACAACCCACCTCACCCTCCGGCCCCTGGTCCCTTCCCGGCGCCTGTCCCAGAGGGAGCCTGCTCGGGAGCCAGATTCCACCGCAGCAAAGCGCGCTCCGCTCCCTTCCCGCCTCCCACCAGCAGCCCGGACCGCTAGGCCCAGCAGCCAGGGGTGCTGGGTGGCGGGGCTGTGCGGGCGAGGAGGGGAGTGCGAGGGAGAGTTGGACCAAGAAAACTGGTTTTGAATCGCGATTCTGTTGCTTGGTGGGCGGCTGGCTCCTCCACCTCCGAATGGCGGCGCCGCCCCTAACACGGGCCGAGCGGTGTCCACCCCGCGCGGCGTGCGGTCTGACACCTGCAGCCCAGGCCCAGGCCCAGGCCGGGACCCCGGGGCCCGCACAGCCCGGGGCGGGCGAGGGGGCTGGGGGTGTCTCTGGCCACCGGCTGACTCCCCCGGAGAGCCCCCGCCCGGGGAGGGCGGCACTGTGGGGTTGTGTAGGCACCACCCCAAGAAAACAGGACTTGGGGATGCGGACCGCTCCCCGCACAGACTCTGGGCATCCGCACCCAGCGAGTCCCTCCGCACCCCTGTCCAGAACCGCAGCCGGTGTGTGTGTGTGTGTGTGTGTGTGTGAGTGAGTGTGTGTCTGTGTGTGTGTCTGTGTGTGAGTGTGTGTGTGTGTGAGTGAGTGTGTGTCTGTGTGTGTGTGTGAGTGTGTGTGTGTCTGTGTGTGTGTGTGAGTGAGTGTGTGTCTGTGTGTGTGTGTGAGTGAGTGTGTGTCTGTGTGTGTGTCTGTGTGTGAGTGTGTGTGTGTGTGAGTGAGTGTGTGTCTGTGTGTGTGTGTGAGTGTGGTGTGTCTGTGTGTGATGTATGTGTGTGTGGTGTGTGAGTGTGAGTGTGTGTGTGGTGTGTGAGTGTGTGTGTGTGAGTGTGTGTGTGTGTATGAGTGTGTGTGTGAGTGTGTGTGTGTGAGTGTGTGTGTGTGAGAGTGTGTGTGGTGTGTGAGTGTGCGGTGTGTGTGTGTGTGTGAGTGTCTGTGAGTGTGTGTGTGTGGTGTGTGAGTGTGCGGTGTGTGTGAGTGTGTGTGTGTGTGTGTGTGTGTGAGTGTCTGTGAGTGTGTGTGTGTGGTGTGTGAGTGTGCGGTGTGTGTGTGTGTGTGTGTGAGTGTCTGTGAGTGTGTGTGTGTGGTGTGTGTGAGTGTGTGTGTGTGTGTGTGATGTATGTGTGTGTGTGATGTATGTGTGTGGTGTGTGTGTGTGATGTATGTGTGTGGTGTGTGTGTGTGTGATGTATGTGTGTGGTGTGTGTGTGTGTGATGTATGTGTGTGGGGTGTGTGTGTGTGTGTGTGTGAGTTGGGGGTCGGTCTGGCCCCCACCCAGGAAGGTCGGCTTCCCCAGGGGCGCCCTCGGCCACGGAGGCAGGGCCCCCTCTGGGAGCGGACCTGTCGGCCCTCCGCCCGGGCGCCGCCTTCCAGGGGAGGGACTCCCTGAGCCCACCCGCCGCGGGGCCCGGAGGCAGAGAGCGGGGAGCGGGGCTGCGGGCGCCCGCGGAGCCGGGGCAGACAGCGCTTCCCCCGGCGGCCCGCGAGCCCGCCGCCGGCAGCCTGGGCGGCGGCGGACACCCCAGCCCTCGGGGGGCCCCCTCCCGGCCCCTCCCGGCCCCTCCGGTCCCCGCCCGCCCCCCACCCCCGGCCCCTCCCGGCCCCTCCGGTCCCCGCCCGCCCCCCACCCCCGGCCCCTCCCGGCCCCTCCGGTCCCCGCCGCCCCCCACCCCCGGCCCCCTCCCGGCCCCCTCCGGTCCCGCCGCGGGCGGACCTCGCGCGGCGCTCAGCCCCTCACACGGCGCCGGGCTCGGTACCTGCACGGCGATGGCGGTCATGCTGCCCCCGCCGCTCCCTCCGGCCGCTGCCGCAGACACCCGCCGGCCGGGACGTCTCCCGGGGCGGACGGGGCGGGCGGGGCGGGGCGGGGCCGAGGGCCGGAGGGAGGCGCCTTTCAAAGCGGCGAACCCGGGGCGGGCTCGGCCGGCCCCGCCGCAGCCCTCGGGGCTCGGTAATGCAGCCAGCGGGGCGCCCAAGGAGCCCGGGGCGCAGGGGAGGGCAGCGCTGGGAGGAGGCCGGGCTCCGGGGAAGGTGCGAGGCCCCCCCGCAGGGGCACGTCCCCCGGGTCCCAGGGAGGAGGGTGGGGCCCTGGGGAGGGCTGACCCGCAGACGTCGGCGGGGAGTCGCGCCAAAGCTCGGGGACCAGGTCTCCTGGACAGTCTGCCTGGGGCGCGAGGCGCCAGCGGGGCGGGGGCGGGGACGGGGGTGGGGGTGGGGGGTAGGGCGGGATTGGGTTCCAGCCCAGACTTGCCAAGTCTGGAGGAGCTGTAGGGTCTAGAGAGGAGGCTTGAACCCGGGCTCTATGGTCTTCACCACCCGCTGTGTGACCTTGGCTGATGGATACGTCTCTGAGCCTAGGCTAAGGTTGGGGACTCAGAGAGGCCTCAGTGAGCGCGAAAGGAGTGGGACCTTCGGGGTCAGTCCTTCCGGCGCCAGTTTTCTTGTTCCCAAAGGAGGATGTACAGATCTGCACCCCTGCCGCCGCCTCAGTGCCATCACAAAGGCAGCAGGACAAACACAGGTCACTCTAATTCCTCCACTTCTAACGGGGCCTGAATTCTCCAGGAGGCCGCGTGCACAGTCTCTGCACCAAGAGGGCAGGTGAGCCCAAGGGTAGACATTTCCCCTCCCATCTCAGTTTGTGGGGACCTGTGTGCTGTAAAGATGGGGATCCTGCTTAGGGTAAAGCAGACCCCCTCTCCGTCACTGAATGGGGTAAATGACATTGTATCATTTAGACAGGCGGGCAGCTCCCCCCTCACTTCACCCAAGGATTCAAAACAACTCACTTATCTCTTTTCCCCCAGGAGCCACGTTATCTGCATCTCCAGGCAGATGGTCCTGGATGGCATCACTGCCCGAGAGGCCTTGTAAAAGCGCTCAAACCCAGCCCTCAGGCCCGGGCTGGAGGCCGTGCCCTCAGCCTCCCACATGTGAACCAATGGCGCGCCCGGACTGGACTTCCCTGGCAGAACCAGTCTGGGTCTGAGTTCTGGCCAGTTCTGCATCAGAATCACCGGAAGGGCTTGTTAAAACACAGGCTGCTGGGCCCCACCCCAGAATTTCTGCCGGTGGAGCTGGACTGAGGCCCCACCTGGGCTGCTTCTAACAAGGTGCTCCTCCTGCCTCTGGCCTGGGGGCCCTGCTTTGAGAATCACTGAGTAAGGCAAAGGGGAGCCAGTAGGCCAGCCCCTCTCTGCTGGGGGCCTTTCCCCCAGGCCTCCCCTGCCTTCTCCATAACCATAGGTCCCAGGAACCAGGTTCTCCTCCCTCCACAGCCCTGGGCCCCAGAGCAGGGGCCACCATGGGAATGGAGCGCCTGGTGTTCCAGCAAAGTAAGAAGCTGGGAAAATTCCAGGACAAACAGAGTAGGAACCTAAGACAGATAGCTCCCTGGAGCCATTGTGGCCCCAAACCCGAGCCCCCTGCCCTGGAGCATGCTGGGATGGATTGACCCTGACTGGACTCTGCAAGCTTCCCAGCTGGCCACCTCCTTGGCAGGCGCTGTCACCTCGCCAATGGTGAGGCACCTCTTCTCTCCTGGCTTCGCCCTGGATGGCATTATGACAGACCCCCTGAACTAATTTGATTAGTGCATTTCAAGACTTCTAAATGCGCTGTTCTCTAGCTCCTACAGGCTTTCTGGATATTTATGTGATTCTCAAACTTTTCCAGCAAGAGACGTACCTCCACCCCATCCTTTTGTTTGGAGAGATCCTGGCGCAGGGCCCTGCCAGCCATTCTCTGATCGTGGCCCGTGCACATGATTCATGCATGCAAGGTCCTCCTGGGGTTTCTTATTTCCCATGCCCCCTCTGATGTGTTGCTAGCTGGGGTGCTGCCTGATTCATGAATCACTTAATAAAGCCAATTGCATCTTCAAACTTACCAGGTTGAACTATGTTTTTTTAAAGATTGAAACAGAACATTTTTATAACTTCAAAAAATTTTCAGAATTCTACATGATCATTTCTGATTGAAGAACATACATGTTTGCATGCGGATTCCTAGACTCCCTGCAAAATACTCCTGCCGTTCTGCCCTCGGTAAACTGGGGGCTGTCCAAATTCATGGCTGACGAGCAGAGAGGCCACCGTGCTCCTCTGTCCGTCTGAAGACCCTGTGGGTGCTCTGCAGGGTGCGGGTGACAAATGTGTGGTAGGGGCTGAGGGGCCTCCAAACTCCAAGTATAAGGGATGGTGTAGGTGCACATTAAACATTTTCATGTTTATCTGTAGGTGCAAAGAGGTCTTTCCTAATCACTGATGTAGGCTGTTCTAAACTCTCTTTTCTCCCACACCTTCTTCCTCTGTTTCTTGCTCTGACTCAGGTGTGCCTCTCCCCCTAGAAGTCAGTTATCCGCTGTGGCAGAGTGAGCAGGCGGGGCCTCACCGCGCGGTGGGCCAGGGCTGCAGGCCTGAAGGGTTCCGTGGGGCGTGAAGTGAAGAAGAAAGTTTCCATCCTCTCCCCCGAGCGTGGGCTGCAGCAGCAGAATTGCTTTGCACCGAAGGCATATGAGAATAGATTTTTTTTTCTTCCTGGAATTCCCTTGTCTAAAAGCAGAGCCTCTTTCTGTCTGGTTCATGGTCCGGGGCCTTGTAAATTAGGCTGACAAGATGGGGGAACAAGAGGAACAGACACACCATAAGCTAATAAAGCTTGTGCATCACACACCAAGGGAGCACCCAGTGGCTAGAAACTCAGAGGGGCAGTTACAGCTGCCTTATGGGAACAGAAGAAGAACACATTTATATTATAGAAAACAGACAAGACGGAGGAAGGCTTCGGATTTCCGGGGTGGCAGCCAGTGGAAAGGTAACGGAAGAGGCCAGTGAGCAGGTTGCTGTGTGGATTCCTCTGGTGTCTTCTCCGAGGGGATAACTGAGGGTCCAGAGGTGTCTCAGATGAATACACTTGGTCCTTTCTGGCAGAAAGGGGAGGGGACTCCTTTACAGATGTATGTCCTGCGGTGAGGTAGACAGGGAGAGGGCCCAGTGCTCTGCTTGGCTCTGCTTCTCAGTCACCGTCAGCTCAGAATAATCCTTATGCCAAAGTGCAGATTGGGGTTTGGCATATTCTGCCCCCCCTTCAGATGCAGTTGTTACATGTAAATTCCTCCCCAGAGGCCAGCGGGGAAGGTGAACTCCATCACCAGAAACTGGAAACCCTCATGGCATCACCCCTAAACAGAAACTGTCACAGTGTCTTACCCCTTCCTCCGCCAAGATGGCATAAAAGCCCCCAATTCTAACTACTTCCCTGAGTCACATTCTTTTTCTGAATTTCCATTTGTACAAGGTTAAAACCTGTTGTCTCTCTTGCAAATCTGTTTGTTTTTTTTTTGTCTGTTTAATTACTTTAACTTAAGAGGGAGAGGAGAATTTTTCCTCTCCAACATATCTTCCCATCTCCTTTCTTACACAATCTGTTTCTTTGTGACTTTCTCTCCTAGATCAGTGATTCCCAACTTTGGCTGCTCAATGAATGGAGGTTCAGATTTAATAGTCTGTCCGAGACTCTAAAATTGTGACTGGGATACATCCAACCCTCCCTAGCACTCTCTAACTTTCTTCATTGTCTTGGAATACAATTGGGTGTGAGGAACTAGTTAATATTAAGTTGTAATATTAAGTTGGGAAAAGTTGATTTATTTTCCCCAAGGAATTAACATTTAATTTGATGACACACAGATCCCTAATTTGAAGACTATCTGCAAGTATAGAAAAAGTAAAGTAAAATAACAGAGAGTTTTAGGCTGAGGACAGATCCTGAGCCAGGATTGCCAACCCCAACTAGAATCACCTGGGAAGCTTTTAAAACCACATCAACCCCTTCCCCCCACCCTCCCAGACCTCCCTAGGCGTCCCTGTGGGGCAGAGCCTGGGGTTTGCTTTTTAAAGCGCCCAGCTGTTTCTAATATGCAGCTGAAGTTGAAAACCTCTGTCCTAAAGGCTTTCTGCTAGGTTTCTTGCCCTACCCTTTTCTCTTCTGGGCTTACAGACGTTTTGACCTTGGAGTTTTGTTAGTTTGCTTGTTTACTCTGCGCAGATGGAGCCTTGTGGGCTTAGAAGGCAGCGGGAGGGAGGTGGGTCTGGTGGATAAAAGGGGATTCTATGGAATATAAGTTTATAGGATGAGCTGACCATAAGTCCCTCACTGGGCAGGTCAGGAGGGTAGTCAGTCCCAGGCCTGTAACTTCTTCAGAGAAAGGCTTAGCTTGCCTGAAGCCAGCCCCCTACTGGGAGTTGAGCCTGCAACCGGAGCATGTGCCCTGGCTGGGAATTGAACTGTGACCTCCTGGTTCATAAGTTGACACTCAAACTCTGAGCCACACCAGGGGGGCATGGCCTGTGCTTTTAACGAGTCTCACAAATATACCACAGCTGTTTTCTGGAGACTACTCAGAATGCCTGGCTGTTAAGATAGTGAGCAGAGAATGAGGAAATGCCTCTTTCTGAGGAAAATGTAAGCATAAACTTGCCTGAGTAGGCAGACTGTGGATCTGTGGGCCAGCCTCCCTCACCCACACCCCTGGGCAGGGGGAGCGAGGGAGGAAGCATCTGTCTCTTTTCCCGTCCTTGCCGCTTACCAACAGAGCTGTGCTATTTGGCAACTCATTTGGTTCTCAAGTCTTGTCTATGGGCGGAGGACTCCACAAATCTCAGCAAGTCACAACATCTCCCTCTGCCGGCATCTGGCTGGGATTACAGTCAAAAATTTAGGATTGGTTTCCCCACCAAAGCCTGGCACCCACTGCCTTTCTGGTAACATTGAGAAG